ACCTTCCCTGTCCCAGTTGCTACATGCAGGTTCTCAGCAGTGCTGTAGGCTGCGGCCGGATGTAGGTAGCGCCAAGGGTGTGCTGCAAACTCCTTGCTGCAAGAGCAGTACACAGCATCCTTGCTCTGAATGGATGACATGCTGAGCAGGGATGAGGGTGGTGGTGATGGTGTCCGCAAATGGCTGGACTGCAAACAGCTGGACCGCAACATTGCGGCTGCGGCTGCCGCAAACTTCATGTTCCTGTCACTTGTCCCTGAGTCAAATTACCACTAGGCACTGCCATTGGCTGCAGCGTCAGCATTTCCACCAAGGGAGCCATCCTGCCGCAAGCGCATTGGGGGTCGTGCACATCCCAGTGCTTGGACTTTGCACCTTGCACCAATGTCTGGTATGGAACAGTGGGCGGTGCGGGCATGAGCAGAAGTGCAGCACAGGCCTGTGCAAGTATCTTGAGGAAGAGGTGGGTGCTGCATGGCAGTTGCAATGGCTTGAACAACATGTGTCTTGAATGCCAGGAGCATCTCCTGCATGAGTGTGGTGTCTGCTGCATGTGCTGCAGCGTTGGGCCCTTTGGAAAAGTGCTTGGGCTTGCAGCTTGGTGTACATTATGCTGCCTATCTGGGAGGCCAGACAGGCCTTGCACTCTGACCAGGACAGGCTTGTTGATGCGGTACTTGTCTTCTTCAAGCTCTGGTCCAGGTGGCGCTGTGTTGACATGCTTGCCAAGCATGGCCATGAGGCCCTGCAGTGGCAGATGCAATTGTTGATCTCAATGCATGCATTGGCAAGACTTTTGCCAACAAGGCCTGTCAGGCTGTGTGGAGAAGCCTCCAGCGCCTGCTTGCAGTAGCTGCTCTGCTAGCTGGAACTATGCGCTGTACAACAACAGGCTTGCATGCTGCTAGGACTTGGCCAAGATTGGCAGCAAGAGCAACAGCTCTGGCTGTGCTGTACACAAGTAGAGCACTGCGCACATGCACAATACATTGCTTGCATGCACCATGAACAGTTCATGGGCTGCAGTCAAGAAGCAGGCGGCAAGGAGATGCGGTTCAGCCACCCAGCAAGTCAACCAAGGCATGCAGCTGCCACCACCAGAGATACCAAGGATTCCAATGAAGGTCAGGATGTGTTTCAGGTTAGCCAGCTGGCACAAGACAACGCTGCAGCAGGTGCGCAATGAGCTTTGGGCAGGCGCAGCGTGAAGCCTGTGCGTTGGTGGACGCACATTGCATGGGTTTTTGGCACGTGAAACAGGACAAAGTGTCAGCACTGATGTGCACCGCGGTGCGCTTTGCGTAAAGTGCAGTCACATCAGCCAGCAGAGGCAACTCTGATGTTGCTGCTGGCGCTTTAGGTGGCACTGCGCTCAACGGCTGCTCAGCACCCTGCCTCCCGCCTCCTCCCTCCTCCAATGTGTGTTGGCCTGTGAGTGCCTTGCCCGCCCCCTCCTCTGCGCGCACTGTTGCTTACGCCTCTTGCAGTCATCCTCAGCACCCTGCCTCCTCCCCTCATCCCCGCCCCCCCAACGCGGCCTCCTTCCCTCATCCCCACCCGCCCGGCACGGCCGCCTCCCCTCATCCCCACCCGCCCGGCGCAGCCTCCTTGTCTCTCCTTCCAACCCGCCCCCTGTCCTGTGATTGGTTGCGCCTCCACATCAAAAACGTTGGCTCACGTCAAGCGCCAGCGCGTGTAAGATGTTTGCCAAAGCCTATGGCAACATTGACCCGGCGCCAGGCAAGAAGCTCTTTGAGCAGCGCACTGCGCGCGGACCCAACGCCGCATTGAGTGTGGCAGCGCTGCAAACCGCCAACGCCTACTACGCAGACATGTGGCCTCTCCTGCTCTTCACCAAGGCCAAGATCAACGCTGCGGCCAGCATGACGCACGCGCTCAACATTGTGCTGCAGTGCCCGCCTCTGCCAAAGGCTTGCACGCGCGCAGGACCCACGGCAAGCCACATCAGCCTGCGTGGCCGCCGGGCTACTGTATCTGCTGCATTCTTCTTTGTGCTGCAAGTGGCATTTCTTGCACTGCATGTGACGGTAGAGTGGCCCTGCATGTATTGCTGCTGCCAGCACTGCAATCTAGTCTGCATGCGGCTTTGTGGGGCATGTGGAGGCAATGGGCCAGTGGGGCAAGCTTCTGAGAGCCTGGAGGCATGTGCAGGATGACAAGATTGTGCTGCTGTGCAGGATTGCTGAGATTGGCTGGGTGAAGAGCCTGCAGAGACTTGTTGCTGGCCTGCAGCGCCTCCTTGCAGTTATAGCTGGGCTGCTTGGCAAGAGTGAGAGGCCCTGGAAGGTGTGCAGGAGGCGCACAGCTTTCATGGCAAGAAGGAGCACACAGAGGCCGAGGCAAGGGGCCCAGAACTTTCAGGGTGTTGTGCTGCTTGCTGTACACAATGGCTGCTACAATGCAAGCTGCAGCCTCCTTCTGGAGCTGTGCAGCAGTCTTTGCCTTACACAGCATGCTGCCTGGGCACGCAGGCGCGTCAGCACAGAGTAGAGCAGAGCCGTGCAGAGCCATGCAGAGCTGGGTCAAGCAAGGCAAGGCTGTCTGGCATGCACCAGAGCCAGGAGCAAAATTGGAGCCACATCTTGAAGGCCCCATATGGGGGCAGTGGCAGCTGCTCAAGGCAGAAACTTGCAGTCATCATGAAGGGGAAGGGGTCCCAACAGTGAATCTGGGACTCCTGTGTGTGTCAGTCAGCAATTGCCTGCAAGCACAAGCAGAGTACTGACCAGAGATGCAGACCATCTTGCAAATCTGCCGGGCATTTGCTCCACTCCTGCTGCCATTATGGAGCAGTGCACTGCAAGACCTTGAAGGACATCAAACAGGTTCATGGCCCACACATTATGGTGCCAAAGTTACCTCCACTGCAACTTGATGACAAGTAGCATAGCCACTGCATCAACCAGCAGGAAAGGGAAGTACAATTGATGTGTGCAGCAGGCCCACAACGGTCTGGCAAGAGTAACCCTCCTTGCTGTGTTGCAGTAGCTGCTCAAGAAGCTCTGCGCTGTACTTGTCACGGTGGGTGTGGAGCCAGACAACAGCCACCATCCACCTCTGCCCACAGCATCCCGTCCTCTTGCCCACAGCATCTCAGCCTCCCGCCCACAATGTCTCTTCTTTACACATGCGCTGCCACCACATTGCCTTGCCATCACTGGCCATCCCCCTTGCCTTGCCATTGCCTTGCCATTGCCTTGCCATTGCCTTGCCATTGCCTTGCCATTGCCTTGCCATTGCCTTGTCATTGCTGTGTCATTGCCTGTCATCATGCTGCGCATGCCCGCCAAGGGAGGCGCCAAGTCTGTGCAATTGCCCTGTATTCTCTTGAACAAGGTGCTTGTCAACATGGGCCTGACTTTCAACTATGCTGCCAACAAGTGTAACAATGAGCCTGCCTGGCAGCTGCAGGTGGGTCAAACAATAAGCTGCTCACTTGAGACCAGAGCAGTGCTGGTGCTATTGATGCCAGTGTGCCATGGATGCCAGTGTTGGAAGCAGTTCAGCAAGTGTTGCTCCTCCACTTTCTCCTTGCATGTAGTCTGGGTGTGCTTCCCAAGGGGTGTGTGTGACCTGCGCACCTCCCTGTATGGAAAGATTTTCTCAGCGTGGCTTCATTGCTCTCTGCCAAGTAGCGGCATCCGGAACTCAGCAACAAGATGTAAATGTGCATTGTAGATCTGCTTGCTATGGCCAGGCACTGTGGCTCATGCAGGTAATTCAGGATCTGGCATGCTGAGCAGAGCAGCTCACTAGCATGTGTTTTTGCTCAGCTGCATGCGTGTGAGGCTGCTAAGCAAGAGCAGCACAAAGATTCCCAATGTGCCAGTCTGCACCGCAATGTCAAGCAGCAGCATGCTGGCCAAAAGGATTGGGTTCTGTTGGGCCTGCTCTTGCTGCAGCGCCATGTTGTCCTCCTCCTTGGGCTCCTCCTGTGCAAGGCGCACCTTGTTGATGACCTGGTTGACAGACTTCTTCTTGCCGTTGCCACTGCGCAGGCACTGCATTGCCGCGCCTGCTGCACTGACAAACTCCTCAAACTTTTCAATGGTGTGCCAGTGTGCAGCCTGCATCACATTCTGCATCTGCAGAAACTGCTCAGCAGTAGCAAAGCCAGATGCGTCCCCCTTGGTGCCAGCCTTGACAGAGTGCATGTACATCTGCAGGATAGCCAGCAATTTGGTCTTGCCCTGCACTTTGCGGGCTGCTGCTGCTGCAGGCCCAGGTAGACAATGCCAGCCAGCAGTAGTGGCAGCACTATGCAAGCACTGCGCAGCAGTGCTGCAGCAGAGCCTACATGAGCCTCATATTGTGTTCCATGAGGGCATTTGTCATCCAACTGGCACTATGGCCGAGTGGTTAAGGCGCTTCCCTGCTATTACAGCATCCTGATCTGACAGGAAGTTCTTTCTGAGAGCGAGAGTTCGAATCTCTCTGGTGTTGCATCTCTTCCAGTAGAAGGCATGTAGACAGGAGGTGAGTAGTGCATGGGATCTACAGTTGGTGTTGGACAAGTGACATGCACTGCCTCTGAGGGTCTGGGCTGTGGTCCCATGTGCCGTCTCTATCTCACCCTGCAGCAGCATGGCAAGGAAGCACTGTAGTCCTCCTGAGCTACCTGCTTTTCAATTGTTCACCTGATGCGCCTGTATTGAGCCCATAGGGGCACTCAGACTCAGTGCTAAGTGCTTGCTCAGGGGCTAGGCCTGCAAGTAGGACCCTGGCTGGAGGAGGACCCGGGAGGCGCGGAGGCGCTTACGTAACGCTACCGCCGAATTCTTCGCGCCGCACCGCCACCCGCGCTGCGAGGTGCTCCGTGCCACCTGCCCTTGACGCCCGCCTGCTTCCCGCACCCCATCACCTGCAGCTCTCTCGCCCCTGCACCCCGCCCCACCCACCCGCGCTCGCCCACGCTGTCGTTCCTGCTCCGCCGCCTCGCTGCCGCTGCCGTCGCCGCGCCCGTGCTCCGCCCGTCCCTCATGTCTGCTCCGGCCCCGCGAGGCCGCGGCCCGCGTCGCGGAGGCGGCGGGCGTGGCGGCCGTGGCGGCGCTGCGGCACCGCCGGCCAACGGCGTGCACACTTCTGCGCCCGCTGCCGCTGCGCCTACGCCGATGGCTGTCGATGCCGCCGCGCCGGCGCCGACGGTCTCGACGCACCTGTCCACCGTGCGCTTCGACTCGCTCGCCGCGCAGCTGCCGCCCGCGCTGCTCTCGGCCGTGCCGTTCGCGCTGATGAGCGAGGTGCAGGCGGCGACGCTGGCGCCCGCGCTGGCGGGCAACGACATTCTCGCGCAGGCCAAGACGGGCACGGGCAAGACGGTCGCCTTCCTGCTGCCGGCCATCGCCAAGCTCGTGCGCGCGCGCGAGGCCGGCCGCGCGCCGCCGTCGGGCAGCGTCAGCACGCTCATCCTCAGCCCCACGCGCGAGCTGGCGCTCCAGATTGAGGTGAGTGGTGTGTGCAGTAGGCGTGAGCCGGCCGCAGCATGAGGGAACAGGGTAGCGCCAGGCGATGGCAGGGGCATACGTGCGCGCCTGCTGCACACCACGCAGGCTGTCTCCACTCTCGCTCGACCACCTAGCTCACCTCTTGCATTTCCAGAAAGAGGCGGCGATGCTGCTGAAGAACTTTGGCGGCGAGATCGGCGTGCAGCACGTCGTCGGCGGCACGAACGTGAGTGGCTCGGCGCACACCCACACGTTTCCCCCCTCACACCCGCGCAGATCACGACGGAGAAGCGCAACCTCGCCACGAAGCGCTGTGACATCCTCGTCGCGACGCCCGGCCGCCTGCTCGACCACCTGGAGAACGGCCTGGCGGCCAAGTTCAGCAAGCTCGGCACGTACATCCTCGACGAGGCGGACCGCATGCTCGACATGGGCTTCCGCCAGGAGCTGACGAAGATTGCGCGCTACCTGCCCGACCGCAAGGCTGTGCCGCGGCAGGCGCTGCTCTTCTCGGCCACGATCCCGCCGGGCATCAAGGAGGTCGCCGACCTCAACGCCAACGCCGTGCACATCAACACGCTCGGCGCCGAGGAGGCCAACACGCACGAGCACGTGCCGCAGGGTGAGCGCGCCGGTGGCACGAGGCAAGTGCAGCGCTGACCAGCACACAGAGTTCCTCGTCGCGCCGCAGACCGACCTGCTGCCGCTCACGCTCGCGCTTATCCTCGAGGAGCTGGCGCGCACGCCCGCCACGGCCAAGATCATCGTCTTTGCGCCGACGGCACGCGGCGCCGCCATTGCCTCGGACGTGTTCGAGACGCCGGGCGTCGCGCACGTGCTTAACCAGTTCGGCGGCAGCGCGCCGTTCCCGACGTTCGCCATCCACAGCCGCCGCTCGCAGTCGCAGCGTGTCAAGGCCACCGAGGGCTTTGCCAAGGCGCCGCGCGGTGTGCTCTTCAGCAGCGACGTCGCCGCGCGCGGTGTCGACTTCCCGGGCGTTTCCGTCGTGCTGCAGGTCGGCCTGCCGGCGTCCGCCGAGCAGTAGTGAGTCGAGTGCCAGTTTGCGGCGCTGCATGTCGCTGACACTGTGTTCAGCATCCACCGGCTCGGCCGCACGGGCCGCGCAGGCAAGGACGGCCACGGCATCCTCGTGCTCAGCGACTTTGAGCAGGCCTTCCTCAACGACCGCGAGATGCGCGCGCTGCCGCTCAAGCAGCACTCCGGCAACGGGCTGCGCCTCGACGAGTGCCGCAGCGTCATCTACGCTGCGCTTGACGGCGTGCCGGACGAGGCCAAGTCGCAGGCGTACCAGGTGCGTGCTGCGCGTGTTGTGGGCCGTGCGCGCCGCTCACACTCTTCCCACAGGCCGCGCTGGGCTACTACAAGGGTTCGATGCGGCTCATCCAGATGAACGCCGCGCAGCTCGTCGCTAGCCTGAACGACTACGCTGTGCAGGGCCTGCGTTACAAGGGCGGCGCCGCGCCGCCGCTGCTTGCCAAGACTGGTGAGTTGCGCGTCTCTGCTGCTCACGCGCGCAGCGCTGACACTGCACGCAGTCGGCAAGATGGGCCTCAAGGGCACTCCGGGCCTCAACATCGTCAAGGAGCTCCCTCCCATCGGCGGCGGTGCACCTCGCGGCGGTGGCGGCGCGCCCCGTGGCGGCGGTGCCCCGCGCGGCGCCCGTGGCGGTGGACAGCAGCAGGGTCGCAGCGGTGGCCAGCAGCAGCCGCAGCAGAACGGCTTCGGCGCCGAGCGTGCCGACCCGGCTGCGCACCGCCGCGACCGTCGCGGTGCTGGCGCGCCGATCGGCGGCGGTCGCGGCGGCCGCGGTGGACACACCCGCCCCGCCTGAGCGTCGTCTGTAGTCTTCTCTGTCACCTTCTCCGGGACGTCGGCGTTTCACCTCTGGGCACCACTCGTACATCACTAGACGTCTCTGGGTCTTGTTAATGGCAGCCGCTTATAGAGCTATGCCGAAGCGTGTGATGGCCGATCATGCACCGCCCAGGCAAGCACAGCGCCTGATCAGTGCTCTCGCCAGACCGCACCGTCCATAGCAATTGCATCTATTGCCCGCGCTGACCTGGCGCGCCGGCCTCGTCGCGCAGCTGCACGACCTCGCGCGCCATGGCCTGCACGTTCTCCACGGCCTTGCGCGCAAAGTCGGCCATCTGCGCCATCTGCTGCTCGCCGGCGCTCGCCTCGGAGGCGCCGTCGGCAGTCGCATTGCCTGCGCCGACGCCGGCGAGGCCTGCGACGCGCGTGTACAGCTGCTCGGCGCGCCGCAGCTCTGCCAGGCGAGCCGAGTAGGCGTCTTCCTCGGAAGCAGGCGCTGCGCCGCCTCGTGCCTCGACGAGCAGGCCAGCAAGGTTGAGAGAGGCGGGCAGCGAGCCTGCAAGGTGTCAGCGCTCGCATCGCGGCGCTCTCACTTCTGTACGCACCAAGCTCCGAGGCGCGTTCAAAGTACAGCCGCGCCTGCGCATCGTCTGGTGGCACGCCCCACTCCTTCTCGTGTCTCCGGCGCGCCTCCTGCTGCACCTCGAGCATCTCGGCCTCGGCCATCTCGCCGGCGACCTGCGTGAGGAGCTCCTCGCGCAGCAGGAAGCGCAGGCCGGCCATGTGTGCGCTCTGGGCGTCGCCGCGGCGTGCGCCTTCGACGAAGTGATGCAGGCTGCGTGCCAGCGTGCCGTTGCGGCTCTCGTCGGTCTGCGGTGGGTCCTTGGCGGCAGCACGGGTGGAGAGCAGCACGCCGAGGGCGTGGTGAGCACGTGCGTTGCCTGTGTCGCGTCAGCGAGGTGCAGACCAGCGTGGCATATGCGACTCACCACCGGCCGCGCCCAGCTCGAACAGCTCAAAGGCTTGCTCCTCGCTCTTTGGCAGCAGCTTGCCGTCGAGGTGCAGCACGCCTGTCACACACTGTTCAGCAGATGCCACAACACCCTCGCTGTTGCCACTCACCCAGCTCGAACCACGCATCGGCAACGCCCTTCTTGGCGGCGGCGCGCCACAGCGCCACGGCGCGGTCGCGCAGCTTTGCACGCTCGGCGCCGTCGTCGATGTGCGGCAGGCGCTGCAGCAGCAGGCGGCCCATGCCGAGCATGCCCATGCCGTCCTGCTGCATCGCCAGCGCGGCGTAGATGCGCGTCGCCGCCGCAGCCTGGGCGCGGCGGGCATCGGTGCGCGCCGCGTCGTCGCGCAGCAGGTGGAAGCCGAGCGGCGGCGGCGCGGCGCCCGAGAGGATCATGCTGGCCCAGCTGTAGCCGGGAGCCGTCGAGCCGCTGGCCGCCAGCTCGGGCGCGTCGCTGCCGCTGGCGTGCGTGGGATCGGGCGTCTGCATCGGATCCGAGCCGTGCGCGATGGCGAACAGCCGGAAGGCGATCGGCTGCCGGCGCGGGTCGCGCGAGTGGCGCAGCAGCGACGTGGCGAGCAGGTGCAGCGAGGCGAGGTCGTACGACGCCATGATGAGGTCTGCCGACGTGTCAGCGACAAAAGCTGGGAGTGTATTGCCATGTGGCGCGGTCGTGCAGCGAGAGCGCGCCTGCGGTGCGCTACAGCGCATCAACCTTGCTTCACTGCGCTGCCCATCCCAGACTCCCTGTGCCGACGCAATCTTGCGCTGCGGCACGGGTCACAGCTCATGCTCGTTCCTTTCATGCCTCCGAATGCAAACTCACCTGCGCGCACCATGGCGTTGCACTCGCTCTCCTCGCGGCGCGCCTGCTCGAGCGTCGGCGCATCGCTGGCGGCGCGCAGCTGCGCCAGCACCCGCGCCACAACGGCGCGCGCCAGGGCACGCGGCAGCGGCCGTGGCGCCTCGCCCGCCGCAGACGATGACGCTGCTGGAGCAGGTGCGCCGAAGAGCGACTCAGGCAGCAGGCGGTCGAGCGAGGCATCGAGCGGCGCATCGCTGCGCTGTGCCGCGGGTGCGGCGTGCGAGGCGTGCCGCAGCGGCGGCAGCAGACGCAGCGACGGCGCAGCGGCAGCGACTCGTGGCGGAACCAGCGTGCGCGGCTGTGTGCGGCGCAGCGCCGTGCGTGAGAGTGCTGCGCGCGCGAGGAATGCTGCTCGCTGCATGCTTGATGGTGGTGGTCGTGGTGGGAGGCCACGAGCTGAGGCAAGCCACGTGCGCCGCTCGTCCGTCTTCCGGCTGTGTGGAGGTGCGGCGCGTCACGTGCGCCTGCCAGTGAGTTCAGCCTGATCCTGCGCGTGGCGCCTCCGGTACCCGATCCGCCCGGCGCCACGCTGCGCCGCCTTGCTTTCGGCGCAGAAGACAGCGAAGTTGTGGCGCCTGCTGCTGCTGTCTTGTGTGTGCCTCTCTCGTCGCTGCCTGGCGGCTGCAGAGCATCTGGGCAGCCGGCCGGCGCGGCGACATCCGGGAGCGGCGCCGCTTCTTCTTGCCGCGGGCCGCGGCTGTGCGGCGCTGCACCGCACGGCCGAGCGGCGCCGAGAAGGAACAAGCCACCCTGGACCCTCGTTCTCGCCCTTGTGAAGCCGAGCTGGCCGTGTGTGTGCGCTGTGCGGCGTGCGTGCTGGTGAGGAGACGCCTCCCTGGCAGCCCGGCTTTCGGCGGCGGCGGGAAGAAGCGCGGCCGGACACGCCGAGGCGCGCCAGGCAAGCCCGAGGCTCGGCGGCCGGCGCTTAGGCGAGCCGCGCCTCCACTCCACTCGGCTCGGCGCTGCCCTCGCCTCCTTCCCAACCACACGCACCGCACTCGCAAGCACCGCACACATACAGGCACCGCCGTCACACCGCTTGCACCTTCCACACCACACCTCACAGCCATGTCCGACTTCGGCCACGCAGAGACGGGCGACAAGGCGCGCCGCGATGCGTGCGTGGCGCGGTCTTGGATGCCAGCGCGCAGCCGCGGCTCACACTCTGCCTCTCCACACAGCCAGTACAGCGCCGCCGTCGCAGGCGGCATGCGCGGCGCACTCAGCGGCGCCGCCATCTCCGGCCCCACCATCTACCTGCTGCACCGCAACGTCGCCGGCTTCCGCGGCCTCAGCCTGCCCGTCAAGACGCGTGAGTGCCCGGCGAGGCGAGCGCCATGCGGAGAGAGCACAGATGGGCACATTGGAGGGTGGTTGAGCAAGCTTGGCGTACACATCGGAGTGCACCAGAGTGGACGAGGCAGTGCACCAGTGGCGCCTAGTGGGCGGGCCGCTGAAGGCATGCACATGGCCCGGCTGCGGCTCGGTGTGGCATTCGAGCTGTCGCCTGTGCCGCTGCTTGGGCACCTGCTGCTGGCCTGCTAGTATGCGTGGGCTGCGAGGTCGCCCGGTCACGCTCCAGGTGTCCGTGCGCCAGTCCCTCGCATTCGCTGTAGCCGCGCGCCCAATGCTGACCCCTCGATCGAATAGTCTTCGGAGTGATGGCCGTGTCGGCATCAGGCGTGTGGAGCGCAGACCGCGCCGGTCTGCGGTGGGACGTGAGTTCCTGTGCTGCGCTGTGAGCCGCACCGAGGCTGACACTGCCGTAGCGCGAGCACTACTCGGACCGCGCCGCACAGCTCGGCCGGCAATACGCCTCGCGCGACGAGCGCGACTGGGCCGAGCTGTCGAGCGGCGACAAGGCGCTGACGTGGGCCAAGGACAACAAGTTTGGCGTCGTGGCCGGCTCGTGCGTGCAGCTGGTGTGGAGTGCGGCGCTGCACGTGCTGATGTTTCTCCTGCACAGCTGGCTGGCGAGCATGGGCGGCATCTTTGCCTACATCCACTCGCAGCCCATGTCCTTCTCGCAGAAGCTCGTGCAGACGCGTGTGTGGGCGCAGGGCTTCACGCTCGCCAGCCTGCTCGCCATGGCCGCCATCACGCAGATTCCCACCGAGGGCGACAAGATCCTGCGGCGCCGCGAGGAGGCCGGCGAGCACAGCTGGCGCGACTTCATGTGAGTGTGCCGCGCGCTGCCAGTAGTGACCTAGCTGACACGGCACACAGCGGCGACGTCGACAACGACCCGTCAGCGAAGAAGGCGGCTGCGAACAGCGGCAGCCAGAAGAGCAACGGCGGCTCCGACAGCAGCAGCAGCCAGAAGAACAACAGCACAGACGACGACAAGGAGGCGCGCATCGAGCGGGCGCAGGAGGCGCGCCGCAAGAACTCGCAGAGCAGCAGAGACGCCCGGCCCGCGCCGCCCGTCAAGGCCGAGGTCACCGACAAGGGCGGCAAGCCGCAGCTGTAGGCGCGCCGCCGCATCTCGACTGCTGCAGATGCTGCCACGTCTCGCTTCGTCGCGAGGTCTCACCTGCTGTGACCGCTACAGCCCGCTCCGCGCTGCCTGCGCGCTCTCGCCTGGCAGCCCTCCCATCCCCGGCCAGCACCATAGACATGCCCGCCTCTGTTACCCTCTCACCACTCTGCCGTCTGCCAATTCGCATACTCGCCCATCTGCACACCTCTCGCGTGCCTCTGCTGCGCGCCACGTCGGCGCGCCATGAGCCCAGACGCGTCTCATTGATCCCTGCTGCCCGGCGCCCTTCAGATCGGCTTGATCTTGAAGTGCAGGCTGATGAGGCTGAAGATGAGGCACTGCAAGTCGCGCGTCAGCCGGCGCACAGGTGAGCCATATCCGCAGCCCACGCACCTTGAGGTCCTGCACGAGGTAGTAGAACACCCGCAGCCCCTCTGGGTCCTCCGAGTCCTGCACCTCGACCAGCGAGCCCAGCTTGGCCGTCTGCGCAGCGCACCTGTCAGCCACCGCACTTGACGCATGCACGCGATGCACGCACCTCAAAGCTGATGTGCTCGTTGCCCAGGCGCACCTCGAGCTCCTGGCGCCCGACGATGTTCTTCTTCGGCCACTTGCCGTCGTCCTCCTTCATGATCTCCGACTCCTGCACGAGCCGCCGCAGCTCCTCGACGAGCAGCGGCGAGACCCACACTGCGAAGGAGAGGTTGAGCGTGTGCCCGGCGATGGCGATGGGAAGGTTCTTGACCGGCAAGAGCAGAGCTGCCCAGACTCGCAGCATGGCCAGCATCTCCGGATCCCGATGCATACACGCAAGGCAGCAAAGTGCCTCGGCGATCGACGATCAAAGCATGCACCTCGCTCGTGATGCGGCGCGGCAGCAGTGATGTTGCAGAGCGGCGATCAGCCCAAGCCGTGAAGCCTGATCGCTCTCTGGGCTCGCCCCGGACCAGTGGCTGCGATGCTTCCGCGTCTCTGCCCGAGCCGCCATGAGGTCTTCCTACTCAGCTGTGCATCGCATCATCTGCCTTGGCTGTCACCGCCACTGCTTTGGTGATGCGCCGACGAAGCTGCTCTCAGTGCCGCTCCGCAGCTACCCTTCCCGTGTGCCATCGTTGCCGCGCCTCTGCGCTGTCCTCTGACCCGGCTCTCGTCCTGCTTGCGCCTCCATGCGCTCGCTGCAGCTAGGCACCATCTGTCCGCGCCGACTCACTCTCCTTGCGCAGCAGGCTCTCGTTGCGGTAGTTGCTGTTGTTGGCATAGCGCAGGCGGCCGCGGTTGTACTCGAACTCGAGCCACTCGTGCCCGTGCCGGCCCTCGTGCCCGATGCTGCGGCGCGGTGAGTGAGTGTGCAGCGCGAAGTGATGCAGCGGTGCACGCACTAGTAGCGCAGGTAGAAGTCGCTGCTGGCCATGGCGGAGGAGGTGGTCGGGACGGCAGAGTGGAGTGGCTGGCGCCGCTCGAGGATGGCCGAGGCGCGTCCACGCGACGGCGCGCCTTACGTAAGCCGCCGCACGGCCTCCACGCCAAGCCGGCCGTGCTTCTTCTCGCCGGGCCGGCCGCTCGCAGTGCCTTCCCACCACCACAGCAGCTGCCTGCGTCTCACTCACCACCTCGCTGCCGCTGCTGCACACTCCCGCTGCTGCTGCCGCGCCGCGCCCTGCCCGGCATGTCGCAGAGCATCATCTCGCTGCACCCGCTCAGCGCCTACACGTTCACCGTCAAGGAGCAGCAGCCCGAGGAGGATGCCAGCGTCGCCGCGCGCCTGCAGCGCCTGCAGAACAACTACGAGGACTTCGGCATGCGCCGCACCACCGAGGCCGTGCTCGTCGTGCACGAGCACGGCCACCCGCACGTGCTCATGATCCAGATTGCCAATGCCTTCTTCAAGCTGTGAGTGCGGGCGTGGGGCGGAGCAGTGCGGCAGGCTGTGATAGAGGGCAGCCGCGTGAGGCGCGCTGAGCCTTCGTGAGAGCTTGGAGTGACGTGGAGCCTGGGACAAGATGGATGCGGCAGTGCAGAGCGGTGATGAGAGGCGGCAGACGCGGCACGCGGCGGCGAGTACCTCGCCAAGCAGGCAGCGGGATGCGTCTGCAGCTGTCGAACACAGACCCTGCAGCTGTGTCTGTGTGTTGTCGCAGCAGTCGCTCTGTAAGCAAACGCTCGTTGCCTCGGTCAAGGAGCGAGCGGTGCAGAGCGTGGTCGTTAGGCAGCTCAGAGCGCAGAACGGCCGCATGCTCGCGGCGCCAGGAGGCGTCTGTCGACTGTGCTGGTAGCCAAGCTCTCACAGCAGCAGCGCCTTGCCACCGCGATCTCAGCTCCGCAGCACTGCGCCGCGTCTCGCACCCCTGCTGATGCCCTCGCAGGCCCGGCGACTACCTGCGGCCCGGCGAGGCAGAGACATCCGGCTTGGCTGCACGCCTCGAGACGATCCTCGCGCCGAGCCCCGCAGAGCCCAACTCATACGGGCCACGCGGGCCAGCCGGCGAGGCAGGCGACTGGGAGATCGGAGACTGTCTGGCAGAATGGTGGCGCCCGAGCTTCGAGACGTTCATGGTGAGTCAGGTGCGCAGGACAAGTCAGAGGGCGGGCCCAGACGTAGCTGCCGGGAGCGAGAAGAAGGAGCAGTCCGCGCGTGGCCGCCATTGCTTCCTCAGGCGGCAGTGACCTCCGCACGGAGATCATTGTCTCGTCTCTGGCTCTCTGCAGCTGTGGCTGACGTTCGCCGCGCTCGCCAGTACCCGTACGTGCCGCCACACATCACCAAGCCCAAGGAGTGCAAGAAGCTCTTCCTCGTGCAGGTGCCGCCAACAAGTGAGCGCCCCTGCCACTGTACCCTCGCTGCTGCTTGGAGCTGACGCTCTCGCTACCAGAAACGCTCGCCGTGCCCAAGAACATGAAGCTCCTCGCCGTGCCGCTGTTTGAGCTGTACGACAACTCACAGCGGTGCGTGCTCTTCACGCTTCGCACGCCCTCCTGCTGACGCCCGCGCTCTCGCAGCTACGGGCCGCAGCTCGCCGCCATTCCGCATCTCCTCAGCCGCTACAACTTCGTCTATCTCTAGAGTCACGCACGCACCGCAAACACAAATGTATCAGTATGCTTTCGACGGACGAGGCGCGGACGCTGCAGGACGGTGACGGGTGGGTGATGATGATGAAAGGTGACGGGACTCGATGGACAGGTGAGAGATGATGGACGGGTGACGAGGGTGACTTGACTGCAGACGTGCAGAGACTCGAGGAGCGATGACGCAAACGAGGCCTAGGCCGGAGCAGCTCAGCGCTCGTCCAGCCGCGGAGCGAAGCGCCACACGCCGCGGTGCCACGTCGACCACGCCGCGGCCAGCAGCGACTGGCTGAAGTGCACCTCGTTGCGCTCTCGCGCCGAGAGATGCGTTGACTGCGCTGCGGCGTCAGCGCTGTCCGGCCAGACAGCCGCGTGCGACGTGCATAGTAGGCCGCGCCGGCACACGAGATGTGCGCAGCCTCGCGCGTCTGAAGGCGGCGCAGCAGCACACGCAGCTCGGCCTCGGAGAGGTGGGCAAGGTTCGCCTGCGTCACGAACGCAGTCTCTGCCGCGGCGACGTCGTGCAGCTCCCTGGGTAGCGAGAGGAGGTCAGCTGCGGTGCTCCGAACGCGGGGCCAAGCAACGGACGCAGCGAGACGCGAGACGAGGAGATGCAGCTCGTGAGCATCGTACGTCGCCGGCGACGTCTGCCACGCCAGTACAGGTGCGCCGAGCGCGTTGATGGCACCGCGCAGCATGGCGTACGAAGGCAGCTTGAGCTGACACGAGGGTCAGCGCATCGCTAAGGACTGCCGCAGCGAGCACGTACACGGAGTGCGGTCGACAGGTGCGCCTCAAGCGCCGGCAGCAGCAGCTGCTCGAGGGCGACGTGGTGCGCCATCGTGGCAGCGGTCCAGGCGGCAATGTATGCCAGCCAGGCACGCATGTTGGCGCTGTGCTGCGGTCTTGCTGTCAGCGCGGCTGCCGGCTGTTGCAGCGGCCATGGCTCACGTCCTTGGCCATCTGCAACTCTGCGCAGGGCAGTGTCAGCAGCGCGCTGCAGGCAAGGAGCGCTTGGACGCACGGATGGAGGCGAAACCACGCATGAGGCCGCGCTTCAGCGTATCAAGCGTGCGGTGCAGCGCAGCAAAGGCGGCGCTCTCCAGCGACGGCGACAGGCCTGCCGGGCTGTCCGCAGCGCCGTTGCTGTGAAGCAGCGCGGACGACGGCGCAGGCCGGCGCAGACGGTGCAGGCGCATGGCACGCCCCAGCGGCGCTGGATGTGGGGCGCCGAGAGAGTCTGGCATTGGTGAGCGGTGAACGATGGTGGAGGAGAAGCAGGCGCAGGCAGCTGCGTGCCTGGCCAGCTGCCGGCGCAGGCACGGCAAAGGAGGCACTCTTGCGGGCCGGAGACGGCATTGCAATTGTTCCATGCTTGCAAGGCAGCTGCACAGCCTCGCTTTTCAGCGTGACCTGGACGAGGCTGTGTTGCTCTCAAGAGCCGGCAACTTCAAGCAGCGTGCTGTTGAGCCCGCGGCCCGAAAGATGATGCCTCGGGCCATCCTCACGCGCGCGCTGAGAAGGCGCTGCGCCTGCTTGCTCTGCTCCCACGCCTACAGAGCAGTGGACAGACTGCAGACAGCTTTGTTGAAAATGCCTTGGGCGCAGCCTCTGGCCATGACGTGTATGGTGGCAAGGCTACCAGGCCGTTGGTGGCAACCAGCAAAAGCGCAACAAAGAAGCAGAAGATGCAGCACAGTACAGAGTTTGACAACCTGTGCATAAGCCTCCTGGACAACTGCATTGTCAGCAAGCACAGAGAGAATGCCATAGAGGTCAACAAATACATGAAATTGTACAACACCAACACTATATATGCAGCAAAGAAGTAACCCAAGAGCATGAGCAAGTTGTGGTACAAAGCAATGCTCAATCATGGTGAGGGACTGCCAACGGCGCAACAATGACTGGGACTCACATGTCTCTCCTCACAGATCTGCAGCTGGGGCAGATTCTTGTAGGGGACTGCCCCAGCCAATGCCATGCATGGATGAAGAGCTTCTTTGTGCATGCACAGTGGCAGAGCAGGCCATTGAGCTTACCTCACAAGCTGTCAATTCTGCCAGCACCTGCCTGTTGCGCACGCCGTGCACACTGCGCACGCTGCGCACGCAGCCAATACAGGGCCAGTGCCACCGCCCAACCTTGGCGCTGCTGCTGGCAAGCGCAAGGCGCTGCAGCGTCAGCTGTTGCCTGTTGCCAGACTCAACATTGCGCACGCCATGCACACCGCACACGCTGCGCATGCCGCTGCCGCAGGGTCAGCGCCGCTGCCCAGACTCAATGTTTGGCACACCCTGGACGCTGCGCACGCTGCGCATGTTGCTGCTGCAGGGCCAGCACCGCCGCCCAACCTTGGCGCTGCGCACGCTGTGCACGCTGCGCATGCCGCGCACGCCAACACAGCGCCGCCGCCCAACTTCAACGCTGGCAAGCTGCAGACGCTGCGCCTGCCGCCTGGTGCTGCAGCTGCGGGCGCGCTTGTTGACAACCGCCACCACCGCGCTGCTGCTGAATTTGCCAAGCGTTGTTGCCATGTTGACAGAGCACTCCTCCAGCGTTGCCTTGCCAACGCTGCCGCAGCACGCTCCGCTGCCCTCATTGCTGCGCAGCAAAGCCATCTTGTTGCTGCTGCTGAGCTCAATGAGCAAGCATGGGAGCAAGATGCAGCGCGGTGCCATTGTCAGCTGGCAGACAAGGTGGGGAAGCAGGGTGTGCTGGCCAAGGCGGAGCAACACACTGCAGCAGAGCAGGCTACCAGGCACAACAAGGCAGCACAGAGAGCGTTGCAGCGCGCCATCAAGCTGCAGCCCCTGCAGCAGCTGCCACAGCTGGATGTCTGCGCACGCAAGCTTGCGCTGCAGCAGCTTGGTCAACGCTGCAGCCATCACCAGCGCCTGCTCCAAATGCTAGAATCCCCTTTGGACAGCTTGCAGGCCTTGGGCTTGGGCTTGCGGGCTTTGGCAGGCTTGCGCTTGCAGGCCTTGGTGGGTTTGCACTCTCAACCATGCGCTTGCAGGAGAGCGCGCCAGCAGCAGCTGCAGCTAATGCCCTTGCTGCCTGGCCTGAACAGGCTCAGCAACTCCACCAGGAGGCCAGACGCAATGACATTGCTTTCTTGCACTTGCCCTCCTCAGTGGGCTGCGCATAGTCAATCATGCAACATCTGGCAATTCCCCTGCACCTCCTCTTGCCAGAGCTCACCAGGGACAAGCACATGTGGCTGCTGACCTGTTGCAGCAGCTTGTGAATCCAGGATAATACAAAGCAGTATCTCTTTGGGTTTCTCAAGAGCATTGCCAGCAGCAACAAACACAACAAGATTGCGCTCATGCACTCCACCAAGACAACCTTCCTCCAAGACATTGGCATGTCATTTGAGCACTACCAGCAGGAGCTGTTCTTGCTGTGTAAGGGAGACATCACTGCGCGCCAGACAGCCCTTGTCAGCTGTAAGTCAGGTTTCTTACACATCTTGACAAGGCTGTTGCCTGGAGCAGTCAGCAGCAGAGCAACATTGGTAGCAGCCAGCAGAGTAGCAGGCAGCTCCTCAAGTGACAGCGCAGAATTGAAAACGGTGTCTACTGAGGCGGCAAAGTTGGAAAGGAAGGACTGCACAGAATGAGAAAGAGACCTCTGGCGGCAGGATTAGACTCACCAATCCTGCGTTTGGGTCCTTGCCATGCTGCACAGACCAGAACTTTGTCTTGCAGGCATAGGACAAGTCAACCTGCTTGGTGACAACAATTGGGTAGCCTCTGCCAGCAGCTGCAGCATGTGCCTACCAGGGTGCACATTGCATGGTGCCTGAATGAACAGCTCAGCAAACCCAAGCAGTAAATCACAGAGGGCTTTGGCACTGCAGAAGTTCTTTCGGACACATCTGTGAGTGAGTCAAAGGAGCATGCACCTTGGGATTGGTGCCTTGTCTGCAAGCTCTCTGCTGCAGAAGCAAACAGAGAGACGGTTTGAGCATCTTGCTGTACGCAAGAAAGCAGCGTCCGCACTGATTAGCGGGCAGGGTCTTGGCGCCAAAGATTGGATGAGGCTTGAGAGTGAAGTGACAGTTGGGGTTATTGATGTTCTGGGCGTGATACCCGCAGAGCCATCTGTTGATCCCACCACAGTGCAACAAGTTCCTGGAAGCAACAAAGCATGTTAGTGTGCAGAACACTGCAGAACTTGTTGCAGGCCAGGAGAACGCACAGAACATAGACCAGCTGTTTGTTGCCAGAATGGCCATAAGCATCTTTCTTGCCGCCGCCCGTCTTGCTCTTGCCGCCATCCGTCCTGTTGCAGCCCTCCACCTGACAGGAGCATAGAAGGTGGGCAGAGAAGGTAGCTGGGTGGGAGTGCATCAGTAGCTGCAGCAATGTGAGCTGGCGCGCTCATGCAACAGACAGAGATAGCTCTTACTCTACATGGAGCACTCACACATCAAGTGCAGCATCTGCAACCTCAAATGGTGTCCAGGCTACTGTCAGGTGTTTGCGCGCAATGTGCTAGGTGCCATCAACATTGAGGCAAGCAGCATACACAAGCTGAGGTATGACACCAAGGTGTGGAGCACCAGCAACTCTGGCACAGCGCACAAGCTGACACAAGTCAATGCGAGCACAATTGTACCATTGCGCCTCTCTGTGGCATCTTGAGCCAGTGTACAGCCCAGAGATCTGCATTGTGGCAGACCTGTCTGGTCTGACAGAGGTGCAGGCGCACACCTGCAAGATGTGTGCTAAGGCATTGGCACCGGTGAGCTAGCCATAGCACTTTACCTTCCACAAGTCTGCACTCCTTCTCTTCATTGCGCGCAATGTGCCACAGAACAGAAAGATGCAGGGCCAATCCCCTACTTTGGCCCAGAGTTGCTACACAAACCCACAGTCTGGGCATCTCTGTATTGGATCCAGCCCAGCGGCAAGGGTGCGCACGCTGAGGGTGTGGAGAGCAGCGGCAGCAAGGGCACACATACCAGGTGGGGAGCAGCAGCAGCGGCAAGGGCATACATGCCAAGTGGAGAGCAGCAGCGCTGCTCAGGTGCTGCTCCACTCAGCATGCGTGACCTTGGCGGCTTGCAGCTGCGTGGCGCTGACATGCTATAGTCTGGGACCCCCTGCGCACAGTGTGCGCGCCTCTGTTCAGGTTGCTGCCGCCTGCAAGGGCACGCACACTGAGTGGAGCTGTGAGCCGCTGGTGCGCCTGCCCCAACTCTTACTCTCTGTATCAACAGCCATCTCTGCACCACCTCTGGCTGTGCAGATTGTCTCTCTGCACCGCTGTCCATTGGTGCAGAGCCTAGCCAGCAGTGCAGAGGGTAGCGTTGCTGCTGCAGACATGAACAGCAGCGGTTCTGCGCTCCTTTCCCCCAGTTCTTGTAAGCTCCTCTTCCCCCCTTGCCCAAGTTGACAGGACATATAGGCGGCGCAATTGTTGGATCCTGCTGCTATAGGCTGGAGGAGTACATCAAGATGCTGTCAGCAGAGTTCATTGGCAGCTTTGAGAACTGCACGCGCAAGCTTCTTGACATCTGCCGCAGCGCTTTTCTGCAGAGCAGCCAGGCAGGATAAGGGTCAGCGTCATGCCTTGTCAACAAGCAAGCGCATTGAGCAAGCACCTTGAGGTCTCTTCTTCTTACATATCTGACATGGCTTCTGCACAGGCTCAAGAAGCTGCTAGACAAGCTTTGCCGCATCCAGGACAAACCTAAGAAGCGGGGCAGTGTGTACGCATTGTGCTTTGAGAACATTGGCACCTCCTTGGCAACAACAGGCACTCTCATCTACAGCAGCATGTCAATGAATACCTGGCAGCGCCGTCAGAACCATAAGGCTTCTACCAAGAAGAAGAAGCCTGGCCACCATTGCATGCTTGTCTACAAGAGGACACACAAGGATGACGCACATGGCTTGCCACGCACTGACCTGCAACACAACTTCTTGGTGCTTTGGGACGCAGGACCAGTGAGTGGTTGCTTGCGCAACACACAGATCTGCTGACCTGACCTGACCTGCTGCTTCACTGTTGAGGAGGCGTGGTCTGTCAGATGCCAGTGTTTTGTGCGCAAGGCATTTGCAATTCTAGTTCTTGAGGCACTTGCCACAGAGCAGCATCATGGGCTGAATGTCCTGCTGGGCCTGTTTGGCAGCAACAGCACGGGCTTGGAGCTCTGCAGCATGCGCAAGAAGATCAAGAGCAGACAACACCTCATTGCGCTGCCAGAGAGTGGTGGTGGAACTGTCCATCTGTGGGGCTGCACCACAGTTGTGCCTGCTTTCTTCTGCAGCACCAAGCTTGGTGCCGCTTCAACATTCTGGATTGAGTACCGTGAGGTGAGACCTCCTGTTGTTGAGACTCAAGGTACCTCAGCCAGGACTGCACTTTTCATTTTTACTGCAACCCTCTTGACAATGCAAGCAAGTAGCTGGGCAGCATTGTTGCTCTGCTGCATGTCTGCTGTGTGCAGATTGAACTCTGACTTGCCAAGCTGCATAGATATGGGGTTCATCTTCCCTCCCTCACCATGACATGCTGAGTGCAAACAAAGCAAGATAGGGAGTAGCCCTCTGAGTCAGGAATGGGCTGATAGCTTGCCCTGCAGATGAAAGTGAAGTCATTGGCAAGCATGGCCCAGCTGAAATTGCTTCTGCCTGCAGCCTGTTGCAGCAAGCAAGTAGCGGACTTTTGAGCAAGAGCACCTGCGCGCGCCATTGCCTGCTCAGGGCAGCCCTACTGCATCCACAGGAGGCAGGCCACATGCTTGGAGACTCATGAGTCTGCGCAGAGTGTAAGTGCCAGTGAAGCAGACTCTACATTGGCAAAAGCGCTGCCCCCAGAAAGCAGTAAGATCTGCACTGTGCAACCCTAATCTCCCTTGCTGTTGCATTAAACAATCTCAGGCTGGATCTCTGTCTCCGCTGCACTGGCTCACTTGGCAGCACTGCGCTTGATGGCACGCACCTTTGCCATAGTAGATGGGTGAGTGGTTGGTGGTGGAGGGAGACAAGGTGCAGGCACACTGCATGCATGCCCGGGCTTGATTGGCATGCACCAGGCATGCTGTGCACCAGCTGCAGAATTTGAATGATCCACCGCATCATGCGTGTGATGTAGGGGTGATCTGGCGGGGTGATGCAGGTTCTGCCCACTTGAGGATGAATGTGCCATCACACTGCTCCATATTGATTGACCCAATTCCAGTCAAGACCAGAGCCCACCACCCACATCTTGGCTGCCAGCAGCCAGTTCCTCTGTATCTCCCAAACTCCTTCTCTTGCACACCATGTTGTCCCGCTGCAGCAACTGCAACCAGGAGGGCCACTACAGGACTATGTGCCCGCTCAAGAGCGCTGTGCCCGCTCCTGGAGGCTTGTCAGTCCTTGAGAAGCTTGTCTGCCCAGCCAAGGCCTTGCAGTCCACCCAGAGCAGCTCAAGCAGCGCCAGTTAGACTGGCAGCGCCGCCTTGGCCTTCACGCCCCCAAGTAGCAAGGTGAAGGGATTTCTCTGCAGCTGCCTGCTTGCCTTGCTGAACCCCTCTCCTCAGGGCGCTGCAAGCATCAGCTTCTTGGCTGGCCCCTTGGAGAGCCTGACCGCCAGGGCAAGCTCAAGCGGCATTGTGAGTTGGCCTGCTGGCCTCATTCAACACTGCGTGCTGACCTGCCTCTCCCAGGGCGCAAGCGCCAGCACAAGCGCGTGCCACTTGGCTCCTCCTTGCTTCAGCTGCTCCAGCAGCAAGCCCACAATGAGGGCGCAGCGCAGTGCTAACCCCTTCTGGCTGTCAACGCTGACGCTTGTGCAGCCTGGGCACCTTGATTTGACCATGCTGTATAACTCCAACAGCAACAAGGATGGAGAGCCAGAGGAGGAGTTTGAGCACTCCAAGTGGCAGCTCAAGTATTGCTTCAACAGCAGCATTGTCTGCCACAAGGAGGCAAACAAGCAGGAGCGTGCTGCAGCGTGGGAGGCAGAGCTGGCTGCCATCAACGCACCGGTCAAGGCGGCCAGTGCCTTGGCGCGCAACCACAAGAAGCCAATCCATGTAACATGCCTGTCTGCTTTGGCAGCAGCAAGCAGCAGCAAGCAGCAGCAAGGCCAAGTCTGCTCTGCGCAAGCGCAAGTTGCTTGTTGTTGCTGTTGAGGAACTTGATCAGCTCTTTCTGTCCAATGAGGTTGGTGACATGCTTGGAGATGTGCTGGTTTGGAGGGCAGGTAGAGGTGGTTGAGCCTTGCTGCATTTGAAGATGCAGCTCATAGGGCAGACAGATGCAATTGGGTCTTGCTGCAATCCACAATGCCATGGCAATAATCATCCACCTTGCGGCAGTTGCAGAGCGTGTTGTACTTGTACAAGGCAGCTTGATGACAACTACCACCCTTGCAGGGGTGGTGCACTTGGCGGCAAGGGGACAAGTATCATGCAGGTAGTGCTGGTCTGGCATGACCAATTCAGAGCCACCACAGTGTGTGGCATTGATGCAGGTACCAAGGCCCATCATCATTGTGGCCGCTTTTTCAAACACATCTGTCAGGTAGGACCCCAGGTGATGCGTTACTGCTGCTGCTGCTGCTGCTGTTGCTGCTCCTGCTGCTGCTGCTGCTGCCGCCGCTGCTGCTGCAGATGCAGTGAAGGATACCTGCTACTTGACAAGTTCTTCCACTGCCCAATGGCTAGGCAGCAAGGCCCTGACATGCACTGGTATATACTGAGGCGCAAGAAGGTTGGCAGTGACTCCATTGCAATCTGACCCACTCAATCTCTCAGGCAACTAACCACATGTGGCTCATCAAGGCCCTCATTGCCAAGGGGAGGACAGAGATGTGGGGTGTCTCACAGATCACCAGCAGCCTGCATGCTCTCTTCAAAGGATCTGCAATTCTTGGCACTTCTGCCATTGTCTGCTTTGCCCTGCATCCCTGTGTGGCAAACATTGGCAAGCTGACTCCAGGTGTTGTTTGGGCAGGTCTTACTCAGCTCAAGAGGTGTAAGACTTTGAGAACAGCACCAACCATGCCCCTGGTCAACAGACCTTCAGTGCAGCCCTGCTGCAGCTCATTGACTGTCTCAGCTTTGAGCATACTAAGCACACCAGCCTTCCACAGGTGGCAGGTCTGCCCATGCCACAGTAGCTCCACTGGCTCAAAGTGATTGCCAGCATACTCAGACGCTTGGACATCAAAGATGTTTACACTGCTGCAGTGCAAGACAGGCAGGAAGAGCAGGCTGCCCTGTAGCTTGTTGTCTGGCAAATTGCAGGCAAATGAGCTTGCAGAAAGGCACCAAAGAATAAGGATTGCAACAGGGAGGAGCTTGGCTATCATTGGCAGCATTCCAGCCTCCATCCACGGGTCAGCACCAAGACTATGCCCTGGCATAGGGCAGGTGTTGCGCAGCACAGTGCGCATGGCCAGCAGGTGGGTGTCAGGGTTGAGGCAGGCAACAAAGTGCACAGGATTGCCCTGCATTGTGTGGCTCTGATCACTGCTCATGCTGCAGCTGAGGATGACAGTTGCACTGGCATCTTTGTTGATTGCTTGCCAATTGTGCCAGGATACAGGACCTACTACCCAGAACAGCAGCAGCTGTCATTGCTTGGGCATGGCTAAAGCTGTAGAGTTTGAAGAGCACAACTGGGGCTTCCCAATGCCATCAATGGCAACTTCTTTGAGGACATTCTTGACAATGATAGCAACAACCAAGATCTGCATGATCCACTGCAACTACCAGCTGCCTTGTCAGGACCAGCTGGGGTGCAAAAGAGTATTGGTGCCCTCAGTTGTGGCAGGAATGGAGGAGCTGGAGGATGAGGATGGCATGAGGTGGGGTGCAGGCTGAGAGCGCACAGGAGGGTTTGTTGGTGCACAACCACGCATGGAGCTTGGCCGGGCAATACACAGGCAAGCGGTGGCCAGCTGTGCAGCAGGTGCAAGGTGGGAAGGAGGGGCAATGGGAGCAAGAGGGATAGGCTCTGTGCCAAGAGGAAGAGATGGAATGGTGGGCGCAAAGGAGGTGTGAGGCGCTTTGCAGCCCACTCTCCCAAAACTATGCAACTAAGATGCACTGCGCTTGCAATGCGCACCTGAGGTGCCCATTACTGCTCATTGCCTCTCTTTCAAGCCATTTGTTGCCCCTTTGCTGTACACAAATGCCACGGCTCCCCCTGTCACAGCCAAGAAGGATGAATACCTGATCATTGCGTCACCCGCAGCACCCGGTCCATCTCACGCACGACGCGCTCCTCCTCCTCTCGCAGACGTGCTTTCTCCTCCTCTTGCGCGTTGGCGCTGCCCTCAGCGTCCACCGCCTCGGGCTCCACCGGTGCGGCCTGCGTCTTTGGAGGATCGACGAGCTCTCGGATCGCTATTCGCTGCGCGTCAGCCCTGCAGCACCGCCGCAGACTCGTGGCACTCACCCTCGTCTCGCTCGCGCTTGCGCTCCTCCTTGCCCTCCTTCTCCTCGCGCACAATGCGGTCGGCCGCGGCAAGCACGTCCTTCTCGTTTTTGCACTCGACGTACGTGGCGATCAACTCCTCATTGACCTTGGCAAAGGCGTGGCCCCAGCTGAAGGGCGAGAGGATGGCGTCGGCGGTGGACGGGTGCGAGCAGACGTGGAACGCAGCGGCGATCTACGGCGCATGTCAGGCAAGAGCGGCAAGGGCAAACACATGCAGACGCACCGCCTCGACGCAGTTCAGCTTGCCTGGCCGGCCGTAGTTGACAGGGTTCGAGGCAACGAGGTGCGGCACTGCGATCGCTGTCAGCCGGCGCAGTAGACACGCTGCGCCGTGCGCCACTCACACAGCCGTTCGTGATCGCTCTTGAGCTTGCCAAACGGCACCTCGTCGAGCCGCGCCCAGCTGCACTCGACGACGGCGACGCCGTGCCGCCGCAGGATGGGCGCGTCCGCCGGCGAGAGGGTGCGTGTAGCGTTGGGCCTGAGGGCACAGGTCAGCACAGTGCTGCAGCGCCGACGCTGCCCACGCACGTGAGGACAATGCCACGCCAGCGCTGCCCGACGCGCAGCTCCTGGATCATGCCGAGGCGCGCCAGCTTGCGCCCGGAGCAGCGTTTAGGGTCGCAGTGGTCGAAGTCCTGCACGCGAGGTGAGCCACAGCGATGCACAGGCCGGCGGCGCAGCACGCACCCACATCGCCACGGGCACGTCGAGCGGCCCGCCGTCGCCGTGCTCGTCCTCGTCGCTCTCTTCCTCCTCCTCGCCCGACTCATCTGCGCCGCTGCCGGTTGCCGCGTCGCCGGGCACGTCGTCGACGGCACTGTCGGGCCGCCAGCCGTCGGTCCAGACGCCGGCGTCCGAGGCGCCGTTGCGCGGCCCACGCACACGGGTGCGCCCGCCACGCGCGCCACCGCCGCGGCCGCGCCCGCCGAGCCCGAGCGCGCCGTTGCGTGCCGACGAGGGCGAGTTGGCAGACTTTGGCTTGCCCATGCTTGTGCGGTGTGGGAGTGGAGAAGGAGGAGGGGAATAGCCAGCTTCGGCGCATGTGGAGCTCGCGCGGCAAAATCTCCCGGCCGAGAGCGGCGCGCCGCCTTCCCCGCGCCGAGCGAGAGCTTCGCATGCTTGCGCTCTTGCCGCCCCTCCACCACACCCCGCAAGCTGAGCACGATGCCGGGCATCCAGATCGCCATCGGTGCGTGCGCCCAGCGCCGTGCTGCGCTGCCATGCCGCTCACCTGCTGCGCAGACCGCGGCGGCACGTTCAGCGACTGCTACGCGCGCATCCCCGGCCGCGACGACGTTGTCATCAAGCTGCTCAGCCACGACCCCTCGCATTACGCCGACGCGCCGACGGAGGGCGTGCGGCGCATCCTCGAGATCGCGCAGGGGCGCAGCATTGCGCGCGGCGACAAGATTGACACGAGCGGCGTTGGTGAGTGGCCCGCACAGGTTGAGACGCGGCTCTGCTAGGCGGCGGCGTCCGCCTGGTGCCGCTCTCTTGTGGCTGACACGGCATGTGCAGAGTGGATCCGCCTCAGCACCACCGTCGCGACCAATGCGCTGCTCGAGCGCCGTGGCGCCAAGCATGCGCTCGTCACGACACGCGGCTTGTGCGTGCGCCGAGAGCGTACATATGCGCGCCAGCTGACCCTCTCGCCATGCTCAGCAAGGACCTGCTCGAGATCGGCAACCAGACACGGCCCGACATCTTCGCGCTCAACATCCGCAAGCCCGAGGTGCTCTACTCGGCCGTGCTCGAGGTCGACGAGCGCGTGACGCTCGTCGGCTACACGGCCGACCCCGAGGCCGCGCAGCACGCGCCGCGCTTCGACGACGCCGGCGCCGTGCAGCAGGCATACTCGGGCGAGGACGCGCCGCCGCCGGCGCACGACGGCAGCGAGCCGCCCGTCGAGCGCGGTGTCAGCGGCGAGGCCGTCGCCGTGCTGCGGCGCCCGGACCGCGAGCAGGTGCGCCGCGACCTGCAGCGCCTCTTCGACGACGGCTTCCGCGCGCTCGCCATCGTGCTCATGCACTCGTATACGTATCCTGCGCACGAGCAGCTGGTCGCCGAGGTGGCGCGCGACGTCGGCTTCACGCACGTCTCGGTCAGCTCGGCGCTGATGCCGATGATCCGCATCGTGCCGCGCGGCGTCTCGGCCACCGCCGACGCCTACCTCACGCCCGTACTCGCCGACTACATCGACGGCTTCTTTGCCGGATTCGACGCCTCGCTGCGCGACGGCAGCGCCGGCACGCGCGTCGAGTTCATGATGTCCGACGGCGGCCTCACGAGCGTCGAGCGCTTCTCGGGGCTCAAGAGCGTCATCTCGGGCCCGGCCGGCGGCGTCGTGGGCATGGCGCTGACCAGCTGGGACGCGCAGGACGGGCGGCCCGTCATTGGCCTTGACATGGGCGGCACCAGCACGGGTAAGTACGGCGGCGTGCGGCGTGCGCTCTGCTGCTCACCGCGCCTGCAGACGTCTCGCGCTACGCCGGCCGCTACGAGCAGGTCTTTGAGACGACGCTCGCGGGCGTGACGATCCAGAGCCCGCAGCTCGAGTGCGTCGCGATCATGCATGTGTGCGCACGCGGATGTCACTAACACTGCGGCACAGCATTAACACGGTCGCTTCTGGCGGCTCGTCGCGCCTCTTCTGGCGCAACGGCCTCTTTGTCGTGGGCCCTGACTCCGCCGGCGCACACCCAGGCCCCACGTGCTACCGCAAGGGCGGTCCGCTTGCCATCACCGATGCAAACCTCATCACCGGGCATTTGGCTGTCGAGGTGAGTTGCATTGAGCAGCGATCATTGGCCGTAGCTGACGGCACTTGTTTTAGATGTTCCCAAAGGTACGCGCGAGCGCCATAAGAGGATCCGGGTTCGCGCGCTGACGCTCGCTGCTAGATCTTCGGGCCGGAAGAGAACGTCGGCCTCGACCTCGAGGCGACGACACAGGCTTTTGAAAAGCTGCGCGCCCAGATCAACAAGGAGACGGGCAAGGAGTTGAGCCTCGATGAGGTAGCACAGGGGTGAGTCGCATGTGTGACGCTTCAAGCATGGCCCCTCACCCGCCTCACAATCATCAGCTTCATCCGCATCGCCAACGAGACGTGAGCTGCATTGCTCAGACGCGTGCATGCCCGCGCTGACAGTCTGCTCAGCATGTGCCGTCCCATTCGCGCACTCACAGAAGCAAGAGGCTACTCGGCGTCCAAGCACGTCCTGGCCTGCTTTGGCGGCGCCGGCGGCCAGCAGTGAGTCTGTTGCACGGCTCTTGCTCGCTCGCACTGACAGGAAACTCAGCGCATGTGCCATTGCGCGCTCGCTCGGCATCCGGACCGTGCTCATTCACCGCCACTCGTCCATTCTCTCTGCGTACGGCATGGCGCTGGCGGACCGTGTCTTTGAGGCGCAGGAGCCCGCGAGCGACACGTGGGGCGGCGAAGGTGTGCTCTCATCGCTGCAGCGGCGTGTCGAGGCGCTCGAGAAGCACGTGCGCGAGACGCTGCAGAAGGACGGCTTCGAGGGAAAGCGCCTCGAGACAGAGGTGCTACTCAATCTGCGCTACGAGGGCACAGATACGGCCCTCATGACGCTCAAGCCGCCAGACAGCTGGGACGTGGACAAGGCGTTCGTGTCCACGTACAAGCAGGAGGTGAGGCGCGCGTCCTGTCTCTCGTCGGACCTGTGCTGATCATACGCACAGTTCGGCTTCACGCTCGAGGGCAAGCCGATCCGCGTCGACGACATTCGCGTGCGCGGCATCGGCAAGTCGTTCGATGGCCTCGGCGAGTCGGTGTATGCGGAGCACGAGCGGCTCGACTTCAAGAAGGCAGATGCCGCCATCGAGGCCGCGCCACGGAGGTCTGGTGCGTCGAGTCTGCCACGCGCCAGCCCGGCCGGAGCTGACTTTACCGCAGTGTACTTCGAGGGCCACGGGCGGCTAGACACGCCCGTCGTCCGTCTGTCAGATCTGCAGCCCGGCACGATCGTCCCGGCGCCAGGTGAGCCAAAGTGTGCCTCACACCGCCGCCGCGCTCGCTGACTGAGTCTGCGCAGCGCACCTCGTCGACGAGACACAGACCATCCTCGTGGAGATGGGCTGTGAGGCGCGGGTCCTCTCCCAGGCAGTGTTGCTAGAGATCAAGTACGACTCATGAGGGACGAATGTCATTGCATGTATACCGCACTCGCTGCCCTCTTCTCTACTTGGCTCTCTCGCCAAAGGTGCCCTGGCTTCCGCCGCTGAGGCTCGAGTCCTTCGTCGAGCCCGTCTTGTGGCTGGCCGCGTCGGCCGCGCATGTATACCGCACTCGCTGCCCTCTTCTCTACTTGGCTCTCTCGCCAAAGGTGCCCTGGCTTCCGCCGCTGAGGCTCGAGTCCTTCGTCGAGCCCGTCTTGTGGCTGGCCGCGTCGGCCGCGATGCGCGCAGCCTTGCGAGCCATCGATTCGGCGTCGAAGCTTGGGCCCCTGACGCCGCCGCGCTCACCGATGCCGGTGCCAAGCACGCTCACGCCCGTGTCCGATGTGCGCGGGTCCGAGCCTGAGTGGGACATGTCGCCCGCCGAGCTGTCCAGCGCGCCGGTCAGCGCTTTGGGCGGCAGGAACGGGTTCTGACGAGGATGGTCGCCGTCGTGCAGCTTGTCGAGGCGCGAGCGCTTCGCACGCTGACGGTCGCGCTCCTGAAGCTTCTGCGCGAAGCGCTCCTCGCGGCTCGGCGCCCGCCGTCCCTTGACCGTACGCGGGAAGCCTCGCTCGTCGAGCACCGTCTTGAGCTCGTCCTCGTCGACCTCTTCGAGCGGCTTCCACTGCTTGTTCTTGCGCTCGACTATGCCGAGGTGTCAGCCCGTGGTCATAGTAGCTGCTCGCGGTATTCACGCTCTTTCTCGCGCTCGATGGCCCACTTGGGCCGCGCATCGACGTCGACCGAGTGGCTCAAATCGATCGACTCGCCAGCCTTGGCCTGGCGCAGCACTTCCAGCGCCGCCGGGTCCGTCTCATCGCCCTCGTCGTCGGCTTGCGAGCCAGGATCCACTGTGTGTTCCATCGAGCGAGTCTCCATTGCCGCGCTCTCGTAGCTGCCGGATGGCCCAGTGTCGCTCAGCTCCTCAGTGCCGCTGGCTCGACCCGCCGGCGCGATATCTATGAGCTCTTCCATGATGCTTGACTGCCGACTGTCGGGCGCTTCGAGTGCTCGCCGCTGCGGCGTGGACGCCACGTCGTCGACTGCGCGCCTCAGCGAGTCGACGCTGCGGTGGCTGAGCGTGGTAGAGGCCGGGTCCGTCGAAGGCGCCGAGGCCTCAGTGCGCGTGTCGGACACTTGCCGCCGTCGCGTGAGAATAGAGCCTCGCTCAGACACCTCGATCGGCGGCGTGAGCAGCGGATTTGTCGCCGAACTTGCAGCCGCCCCGCGGAACGGGAAGGAGCCGGCACGCGGACGCTCTGGAGACCTTGATTCGGCTGGATGCAGCAGCGCCGAGTCTTGTGAGCCCCGCGGCGACTGACTAGTCTTCCTGTTGCGCGCTGGCACGCTCCACAGAAGGCCCGCAGCCATGCGCTCGCGCGGCGGCGATGTTGGCAGCGGCGGTGGCGCAGGATCGAGCCAGTCAGGCGAGCGGCCACCAGCAGCCGCCACGGCGACAGACAGACTCGACGGTCTGCCGGGGCCAAGCTCGGGATCGACGACGCCGCTCGAGTCTGTGCCGCCCGAGCCGCCAGAGCGCGTCTTCGACGAGCGCGACATGGGAGAGATGCGCCTGTTGCCTTTCGGCGGCGCGAGCGTGTATGACTGCGGCTGCGCCTGTATGACTACCACTGGCGGCGTAGTGGAGCGGGCAGAGGCGGAGTCGTGCTGCGCACCGCCGGGCCCTGCCGCAGCTGCCGTGGCGCGCACGATCTGGCTGCGCAGCGAGCCGCCGGACATGTGGTGCAGCAGTCGACCGGCTCGCTGAGCGAAGCCCGAGGTCTTGCGAAGATCGAGATGGCTGCCGCTCGTCTGGGTACCGGAGATGGAGCCTGGCGCCGGCGACGTGGAGCTGCGCGGCAGCGAGGAGCGATGGGGCCGCTGCGTGAGCCTGTCCTCGGTCGCTGGCGGCTCGACAGAGCCCAGATAACGAACGGGCACCGTGGCGAGCAGTCGCGAGGCGATGCGCTCCTCGGGACTGGAGCGCGGGAATGTGTGGGCCACGCGGCTGGCGCAGAGCGGAAGAGTGGCAGAGGCGATCGCCAGATAGGCACTGGACGGCGTGTCAGCAATGGTGCGACCTCGGCATTCAGCAGGACTCACATTGAGAGGATGGGCGAGAATGCTAGAAACTCGATGATCGTGCCGCCGAGGAGCGCCAGAGCCGCGACGAGCCACCATCCGGCGCACTGCCGCAGCGTGGCGGACAGATCGCTGGGGAGCTGCACGGCGCGCTGGCGGTCGCACAGCTTGAGGAAGCTCTTCTCGCGCTGCTGTGGAGTGGCATCTGACGACGGCATGCGCACGCTGCCCGCCAGCTTCGTGCCGGAGAGATGCAGGTGCTGCCAGCGCTCCGGCAGCTGTGCCAGGTCCAGCGCGGCATCGCCACGGGACGAACGCCGCGGCGGTATGACGGCAGACGCGGCCTCGACGGTGCTCGCCGTCATGCCCGAGTCTGGACGGCGCCTGCCGAAGATGGCCAGCGGCAAGGGAAGGACGGCGAGCAGTACGAGCGGCAGAAGACTGTGTCTTGGTCAGTCGTCTTCTCGCCGTCGTGGCGCAGCTGGCGACTCACTACGAGATGGCCGCCCAGGGTTCGCGCCGAGCGTAGCACGCAGCGCCGTTCGGACGGAGGCCGCCGTGCCACGCCGCCACGCCAGCGATCGATGGTCCGGTCTGTGCCCCAAACAGAAAGAGGCCGAGCAGTGTCCGAGCTAGCCCTAGTCGGGTCGGCGCGCCCACGGCCAGGACTCGCGCAAGGAAGACAGCCGTCGAGAGACAGTACGTCTGAAGACTAGTCAGCCAGAGCATGCATGGCGAATGCGCAGGCACACACCGTAGCAGCCATCGCGGTGAGCGCCCGCAGCCAGCTGCCGCAGCCGATGTCCTTTGCGCCGTGCGTGTAGGCGATGAGGATGGAGAGCGCCGCCAGGCCAGCGGCGCGCGCGACAGACGAGCACAGTACGGCAGCACCGTAGGCGGCCTCGACGCCGTGTAGTCGCCCACGGCGAGCGTTGCCCGCCAGTCGCAGCACGCCCTTGGCGTCGGCGACGAGCTCGGCGACGCTGGCCCAGAGGAGTGCGCCTAGCGCGAACGGGCCGAGGAAGAGGATGGCGCGCGCCGTGCTGTCGGCGACGCCGAGGCTGAGCTCGTCGCGCAGCGCCACGACGCGTGTCGAGTCGCTGCTGGGAACGGCCCACGGCTGGGAGATCAGCGGCATGTCGGGCTCCTGGCGCGGCGAGATGGTGGCGAGAACGGAGAGCAGCAGAGGCATGCTGCGCGGACGCGTCGTGGCGTGTCGGGAGCTCGGACGTCGGGGGCGGCTGGGCGCACAATTGGACATGCAGCGGGCGTGTGCGCCGCTTTATGATTGAGCGGCGCTCTGACCTCTCGGCGGCGCCGTGCTGCTCGTCCAGCGGCGCAGTGTGTGCCGGCGCCGGCGTCATTGCGGCGCGGCGATCAGACGGGGTCCGAGCGGCGTGGCGGCTCGCGGCTCGCGTCCCTGAGATGGGCGCGCGACACGCAGCGTCACCTCGCGTCTCGCAGGAGCGCCTGTCAGGGCCGAGGACATCGTGCCGGGTGCAGATCCTCGCTGATCGAGCCCAGCTGCGATCGGGCCGCCTCGTGACGAAGATGTCCTGCTCCCAGCGCGTCGCGGTCGTGCGGAGCGTGCACGGGGCGACATGTCGCCGCATGGACGGAGGAGAAGAGCATCAGACATGTGCGCCGCGACTCCACGTCATCAGTGCTCCTCCAGACCCGAGAAAGCGACGGAGCATACTCGGGCCGAGCCCGACGGCGTGGCGGCACGCCAGGCTGCCCGGGCAGAAGAGGCCCAGTACGCCGGCTTGACGCCTGCGCTGCGCTCCGTCCATCGCATGTGCAGCGACAAAGGAGCACAGACGGCGTCACTTGTGCTGCACCGCCGCTGCTGCGCTGCCGTGTGCCAGGCGCTGCTCGCTGCGGCCGTCGTGTCGATCGGGCATCGTGACTGAGCACCCGAAGCGCCTCAAAGCCGGCCCTTGACATTCATGCTGCCAGGCACGCTCGGCGCCGCAGTCTCGCACGATGGCGAGTCGTGCTTGGATCCGTCGCCTCAATCACTGCTCTCGCTGCGCCCGTCGAGGCGTGTCGTGCCGAAGCAGCACCGGCGCAACGATCCAGGCAGATCGCGGCCGGTCCAGTTTTCAGTGTGCGCAGGGCGCGCCATCTGCAGCCGTCCGACAGCCCTTGCCATGCTCAACGGTCGTGCAGCGCTGAGCAGGCGGTGCTCTGGTGATTGTGGCGTGCAAAGCTTGCTGGCATGCTCGAGCGGTCGTTGTTGTGGAACGGAGAGAACGAGCGAGGCGGCGGGCGCGACGGGGGCGCGGCGCAGCGGCGGGCGGCGTGAAGAGTTGGCCCGCGGCTGCTGATGCTGCTCGCCCAGACGTGACGCCCAAGCGTGACTTTCGCGCTGCCGGCGCCGTCTTCTCCACCACCACACCCTCTCCCTCAGTCCACAGCCGTCTCTCTGCTCGCGCATGTCTCGTGCGGCAAAGGCCACGCTCGGCGCGTCCGTCGTGCTCTCGGGCCTGACGGTGTGGGGCGTGCACTTCATGCAGGTGCAGGAGCGCAAGGTGCGTGGCGCGGTGGGCGACGCACGCGGTGGTGCAGCAATGCTCCGGCGCTGACCTGCCGCCAGACGATGCACCGCGGCGTCGAGCGCGACGAGCTGCGCCAGGCCGAGAAGCGCCGCCAGCGCGCCCTCGACCTCGAGCTCAACAAGGAGCGCGAGCAGCGCTTCCAGCAGATGCAGCCCACGGCGCAGCACCGGCGCGTGGAAGGGGGCGATGTGCGGTAGCGTGGTGAGTGGTGCGGCCGAGGTCAACCGTGCTTGCTGCTGACACGCCGGGCAGAGCAAATGATGTACTACAGAAGCGTGTGTGGGTGACGTGTGGGTCGGCATTGCGGTAGGCGAGTCTCGGCGGGCCATCGCAGCGATGGCCTCATCGCAGCATCACTGCGGCGGCCTCAGCGGAACATGCCGCGCAGCCAGCCCGTCGCCACGAGCTCGGCGTTCTCGAGGCGCAGCAGCTGCACACCCTCGCCGGCGCCCGCGTCGGCGTCGCGCAGCACGCGGTTCGCCTCGAACGGCCGCACCTCGTCGCTAACCGTGCCGATGGTGACGTGCGGCGTCCAGGCGCCGTCGGCGTCGCCGCGCGGCCCGCGCTGCAGCGTGTCAAAGTCGCGCAGCTCGCCGCTCTCGACGTGGCCGACGCCAAACGTCATGACGCGCCCGTCCCAGGCGATGCGGTCGAGGTGGATGGCAAACTGCGCCTCGGCGGCGCCGGGCGCGCACAGCGCCGCGTAGCGCTCCCACTTGGCCTGCGCGTGCTGCTGCTCGGGCGTCGGCTGCAGCGGCGCCTCGGGCGCGTCCTCGCTCGGCTTGCACAGCTCCATGTGGTGCACGAGCGTGACGTGCGGGCTCTTGTTGATGCGCCCGTCGCGCGAGAGGCGCTGCAGAAAGTCGCGCGCCTCGGCGTGCGCCGGCGAGTCGGCGGCGCGGGCGCGCAGGATGGGCGCCAGGGCGGCGAACGGGTCGACCTCGACGGTGAGGCCGTAGTAGCGCGCGCCCTTGACAGTCGTGGCGCTCTCGGCCTCGCCTTCCGCGGGCGCTGCATCCTTGCCCTTGCGCGTGACTGGTGCCTTGTATGCGTGCGCATGTGCGAGCGCCGCCGCGAGCGCCTCGTCGCGCGGCCGCTCGCAGCCGAGCAGCGGCACGAGCGCGTCGACGGCCTTGGCCAGGTTGTCCCCTTCGCTGGCCTGCACGTCGAGGCGCACGACGTCGTCGAAGCGCTCGTCGGCCGCGCCCTCGGTGCCCTCGCCCTTGCCGCCAGTCTGAAACGGCTGCACCTCCTCGAGGAAGCGCCACAGGATCACCTCGTGCTCCTTGGTGCCTGACGCGCCCTTGGCGTCGGCGCGCAGCGACTGGTGGTTCCGGCCGCGCGCCAGGATGCGCTGCGAGCACACGCGGTGCAGCGTGTTGAGAGGTACCGTCTCGAGCGCATAGGCCAGCGCGACAAGCCGCACGCGCGGCGCAGACGCTGGCTTGGCTTGCTCGGCGTCGGGCTTGCTCTTGGCCTTGGCGGCGGCGATCTGCAGCGCGCGCGTCTCAAACTTGCGTGCCTCGTCGACGAGCTCGGTGCGATGCCGGAAGCAGTGATTGTTGCGGTCGGCGATGACGGTCGTGCTGCTGCCGAGCGCCTTGCCGATGGCGCGGATGAAGGCGGGCCCGGCCTTCTTGCCGGTCACGTCGTCGGCCTGCTGGTGCAGCACATCGGGAAAGAGGTGCGCCAGCGCCAGGGACAGCACCGTCTTGCCGCAGCCGGGCACGCCGACGGGCACGACGAGGGTGTGCGTGAAGGGATCGCTGCGCGGCCGCTCTGCCACGGTGCCGCCGACGGCGAGCAGCTCCTGCCGGCCCTCCTCGGTCTGCAGCCACTCGAGGTAGCGCTCGCGCAGCGCAATGATGCCGCGCCCGCTGTCGAAGTGCGCAAAGAGTGCGGGCTCCGGCCGGACGCGCCCGTCTGGCGAGCCGTACACGCGCGCGTGCACCCAGTGCACGTACACCTTTGTCTCGGGCCGCGAGGAGCGCGGCTTGACTGGCGGCGGTGGCGGCGGCAGTGCGGCTCCTGAGCCTGCTGCGGGCTTGGCGATCTCGCCGGCCGCCTTGCGCTTGGCATCGTCTGCGCGGTGCGCCGCCTTCGCCAGCTTTTTGGCCGCGTTCTTGCTCAGCTTCTCGGCTGGCGGTGCATCGGCAGACGCGGCCTGCTGCGGCGGCGTTTCTGACTCGGCACTCTTAGGCGGCAGGGCTGGCTCTGCTGGCTTGACGGCTGGCGCAGCTTCGCGCTGCGCCTCGCTGGCCTTGGCTGCGCCAGCGCGGGCCTGCTGGCGCTCGCGTGCGGCCTGCACTTGCTCCTTCCACGCCTTGTGCTCCGCAAGCGTCGTGCGCGTGAGCTCGCGCCAGTCGCGGTACATCAGGTACGGCTCCTCGTACTTGACCTTGAAGAACCAGTCCTGCCCGGGCCCGTACGGCGGGCGTGCTGTGGAGCTCGAGGCCGCCGGCGCCCTGTCGGCGTCGACCGCGGGCATCCTGGTGCGCACGACGAAGCCCTCGATGGCCTCGCCTTCCCACGCGCCCGTCTCGCCGACGGCGTCGGTGAAGGCCTGCAGCGCGCGCAGATCGGCAAAGGAGCGCCAGCGCGGCGGCAGGAAGCCCCACGCGGCGGCGAATTTGGCGACATCCTCGACGGGCGCCGTGCGGAAGGCGACGGTGTTGCTGTTCAGGCCGTGCAGGTGCAGGCCGCTGCGTGCCGCCGAGTACGCCAGCACGTGCTCCTCGAAGGAGTCGTCGCACAGCTGCGGCGGGAGTCAGCGCATGTGCTGCACACGAGCCTCGCGCGCCTCACCTCGGCGACGGCCGTCATGTTGCGCGCATACAGCTCGGCGGCGAGCGCCTCGCGCGTGCGCCCGGCGGCGGCGAGGTGGCGCGCCAGCCACGCCTCGCCGACCTGCGCGTGGCTGCGCTCCGTGTCGGGGCGTGCGCCGAGCGAGTGCTTCGAGCAGACGACGAGCGAGCGCGCGTCGACTGCGGCGATGAAGATGATGCAGCCGTTCTCCTTGAACGTAGCCACGTATGGCGGCGCGCTGTGCGCCGCGATCGCCTCGGGCTGGGCACAGTGAGCTGCTGATGTCTGCAAAGAGGTAACGTCCCACTCACGCGTGTCCACGGCAGCTCGCCGACGTTGAAGAACTTGTCGTAGCCGCGTACGACGATGCGTGCCGGCCCGGCCGGTGCTGGCCCGTCTGCGCTGCCATCGCCTGCGCCATCGCCTGCACCACCAGCCGCACTCTCGGCCCCGCCCTCTGCCACGCCTCCAGCGGTGAACAGCCCGCGCGCCAGCGTCGGCAGCTCGTCGTCGGCCGCGACGCCGATGCGCTGAGCCTTGCGGTAGGCAAACTCGGCGACGCGCCACGAGGTGAGGCGCAGCGGCGCATCGGCGGCGACGTCGAAGTCGGTGCCGCGCACGAGCGGCTTGGCGGGCGCGGCGGCGGCGCGGCGCAGCGCTGTGAGCAGCGCGGCGGGTGCGACGTCGGCCGGCGGCTCGCTGGGCATGGCTTGGGGATGGGGAGTGAGGGGCGAAGGCAGGCGGCGGCGAGGTGCGCTTTGGCCAGTGACATTTTGGCGCGCGCCCGGCACTCGGGACTTGCCGTCGCGTCGCCAGATCTTCCTGCGCGCCCACCGCACGTCGTCCTCCTTCGCGCACGCCGCGCCCGAGATCAGGCGCTGGCCCGATGATGTCTATAGACTGCTAGGCCCACTCTCGCTGCACGCTTTACAGGTCATGGGTCTGGGCCAGCGGTGCGGTGGGCGTGGGCGCGTCACGTGCGGCGCCCTGCCGCCCTCCGCTCCAGCCGCGCCGTGACGTCAGGCCGGCGGCCCTATGGCCGGCGCGCCTCCTCGCCGCGCTCCGAGGTTCCGAGAGTGCCTTCGAGGCTTCATTTCGCCATGAGTGCTTGAGCAAGCGTCTACGTTGCTGCGCTGGCTTGTGCGGCGATGCTGCGGCTGGGTGCTGCGGCTGCGCTGCCTCCATCTTTGCGTGCTTGTCGCTGGACGTGCGGCTCGCTCGCTGTGGCTTGCTCGGACGCCGGTGGCCGCTTTTGGGCGCCGGCGTGCAGCGCGCCGCCGCGGGGCCCGCGCCTTGCCTGCCGACCATCGCGTTCTAGCGCCGCCGAGCGTGGAGAGCGGCGGCTGCGGCGGGTCGCTGATGGCTGCTGATGCTCGCATGCTGCGGCCGCCGCTGCCATCTGCGAGCCAGAGTCTGAGCGCTGCGTTCTGCTCAGAGCGTCCTCTCGCTGCGCTGACTGAAGCGTGAAGCCTGTCGGCAGCTCTCGGCGCTGCGCTGACGGCGAGCGGCGACTCGCACTAGACTGCGGCGCCGGCAGCCGTCTCTCCGCCTCCACGCCGCGCGCCGGCCGACGGCTGCCGCGAGCCGGGCACGCTGTCCGCACCTCTGAGCCCTCGCTGCGGACCCTGCTGCCGGTCTGCTCTGTTTTGTGCAGCTTCTGGCTGCCTGCTGTCGGTGCGGCGCTGCCGGTGCGCGATGCGCCCATCGCTGCGCTGCTGGGCGGAGCAGCGTCGCGGCGGCGCTTGTTGCGCAGCATCCACGCGCGGCGGCGGCGATCGCGGCACGGCGCCAGTGTGCGGTGACGTGCCGCTCTGGCGTGGCCCGCTCGCTCTGCGCTGACCACGGCCGCCTCCACTGCGCCGCTCCCTGCCTCCGCTCCACCACGGCCCACCCAGCACCCTCCGCCATGGCCGCCGCGATTGCCTCGCTGCAGCGCGCGCACCCCAGCGCCGAGTCGCGCCTGCTCGCCAACCTCATCAAGGCCGAGCGCGCCTACATCCAGCACCTCGCCGCCGCCGTCGGCGCCAGCCAGGTCGCCGCCAGCGCGCTCAGCGCATGGGGCACCAGCGAGCCGGCGGACATTGCCGACGCCGCCGCGCGCCTCGCCGCGCTCCTCTCGCAGGCCGCCGAGATGCAGCAGACGCACGTCGCCGCCATCGACGGCTACCGCAGCGCGCTCAAGGACGTGGCCGACCGCGAGCACAGCCTGCGCAGCGTCGTGCGCGACCGCGACATTCTCGTCGGGCGCCTCATCAAGGCCAGCAAGCAGAGCAGCAGCAGCAAGCGCAGCCCCGAGGAGCGTGCCGAGCGCGTCGCGCACGCGCAGCGCGAGCTCACCGCGTGCGAGGAGGTGCTGGCGCAGGAGGAGGCCGCGCTCGTCGGCGTCAAGCGCCGCACGTTCAAGGAGGCACTGACGATGCGCTGCAAGACGATGGGCGACGCCGGCGCCGCCATGGTCGACGCCGCGCGCGACGCCATCCTGCTGCTCAACGACTTTGACGCCAGCAACGCCGCGCCGCACCACGCCGCCGCGCACGGGCGCACCGACAGCGCCACCAGCTGGAGCTACGGCGCCGGCGACGAGGACGGTGAGTGCCGCGGGATGGGTGACTTGCTGCAGCGGCTGACACGCGCCACAGACTCGCGCCACAACCACCCGGCGTTTGAGAACAACTCGGTGACGCCGTCGCAGTCCGCCTCGCAGGTGTACCGCCCAGCGCAGCACGGCGTCGGCAGCTACTCCAACCACTTTACCGACATTGGCGAGGGCGAGGACGGCGACGCGGCGCCGCGCGCCGCCGACGAGCAGAGCGACGACAGCGACGAGGAGGACTGGCGCCGCATGCACGAGGACACCGAGGCGCACCAGGGCGGCGGCGCGCGCCTCGCCGCGCTGCCGCCGCCGCACCGCCTCGCCGCCGACGCCGGCACGGCGGGCGCGCCCTTCCTGCCGCACGCCGCCAACGGTGCGCCGCAGAATGGCTCGTCGCAGTCGCTCGGCGGCCATGGCGCGCGCACGCCGCCGGCGCCCGCACCGCCCAGCAAGGACCCCAGCCCCACGGCGCCCAAGCAGCAGCAGCAGAAGCAGAAGCGCCCACAGCGCGAGGTCAACCACGTGCCCATGCCCGCCGTGCCCTCGGCGCCGCGCCTCAACCTCGACGGCACGAACCTCGGCGACGTGCCCAAGGCGCCGCGCCCGTACGTGCGCGGCGGCGACGACTCCTCGTCCGACGAGGCCACGCCGACACGCGCGCACCGCGGCGGCAGCAGCACGTGGGGCTCGCGCCCGGGCCGCAACGCCTCGGGCGATGCCAGCTCGGACGAGGGGCGCACGGCCAAGGCGCCGTCGCGTCCCGGCGCCAAGCGCAGCGGCAGCTTCTTTGGCCGCATGAGCAAGCTCTTCCGCACGGACGTGAGCGGCGAGCCGCTGCCAAAGAGCCCCTCGTCGCAGCAGACCAAGGAGCGCCAGCGCCCGAGCTGGGAGACGCGCACGCCCGCCACGCCCAAGGCCGACAGCGGCGTGTCGCGGCGCCAGTCGCTGCTGCGCCCGCTGCCCGGCGCGCGCGCTGCGGCGCCCGCCGATGACAGCTCCGACGAGGAGGACCCGGCAAATCTCGTGCGCCATGTCAACCCCGGGCGGCCGCTGTGGCAGAGCTCGACGCCGTCGGCCGCGAGCGACCTCGGCGGCAGCGCCTCCAAGGCCAGCAAGCGCATGGGCCTCCTGCGCCGGCACAGCGTCACCGTCGGCCCGCAGAGCCAAAAGGCGCGTGCCGAGGAGGAGGCGCGCATGGCTGCGGCGCGTGCCAGCGTCATCGGCGCAGGACTCGGCGGCACGCCCAGCGCAAGCACGACGAACGTCAGCGGCGAGCCCGTCAAGCGCAAGAAGAAGAAGAAGAGCAAGCCGACGGACACGGGCAGCGAGATCGGCACGGCGCCGACGCGCACCGCCGCATCGAACCGCACGTCCGACTTTATCGTGCCCGGCGCCGTCGGCTCGGGCATCGGGCGCAGCGACAGCATGACGCCGTCGGTGCGCCGCGGAGCCGCTGGGGCACTCAGCCGCAGCGACTCGACTGCCACGGCCATGTCGACCAAGACGGCCAAGAGCAAGAAGCGCAGCAGCGTCCTGCCCGCCTCGAGCCCCATGGCGACGGCGAGCGCGTCGCTCGGCGCCATGAGCCCCAAGGATGCGTCTGGCAAGTACACGACCAGCACGTGGGTCGCGCGCAACCCCGACGAGCAGCAGTCGTCGCGCCCGGCGAGCGTGGCCAAGACCGCAGCCGAGGTCGCGGCACAGGCGGGCGTGGTGCCGAAGAGCACCGGCGTGCCCACCTCTGCCGGCCCGACACTGGCCGCCCCGACGGCGCGCCGTGCGGCCGACGTGCCCAAGGACGAGCAAGGCAGCCACGTGCCGCAGCCCAGCCGGACGATGAGCCCGCCGCTCAAGCCGGCCCTCAAGGCTGCCAGCATCGGGCGCTCGGGCAGCATTTCGAGCGCGACGAGCAACTCGGCGCGGCCGGTCATGCCGCCCGTGGCTACGGCACCGCCGCTGGCCAGCTCGCTGCTGCAGAGCGCGACGGCAAACGCCACGGCGCAGCGCGAGGCCAGCACTGCTGCGCCGCGGCTGCCTGAGATCGGCGAGCAGCAGGCGCAGACGCCACGGGCGTCGCGCAGCGTGCTGAGCATCGAGGAGGACAAGCGTTTCGACGGCTCGGGCAGCCTCGGCTTCGGCGACACAACGCCGCCGGCCGGCGCCTCGGCGGCCACCACGCCGAGCAAGGCGCGCGCAGACGTGCCGCACATCGAGATGCCCAAGTCGGAGCCCTTCCGTGTTGAGCTCGACCCGCAGGGCCGCCCGTCGAATCTGCGCCGCGGCTCGGCCACGCCAAGCCTCGGCGAGGTCTTTATGACGCCCGGCGAGGTTGAGGCGTACGACTCGTTCCTGCGCTCCGCCCCGCCGGAGCCAGAGCCCGCGCCGAGGCCCACAGGACCCACGCGCGCGCCGGGCGTGCATGACGGCCAGCCTACGGGTGTGACGCGCATGACCGTCGAGCGCAAGCGCCTGATGCCCAGCCGCACGTACTCTGGCGGCATCGGCCCCCAGGACGACAGCAGCTCAGACGAGACGAGCGCGCCCGCCAAGCCTGCTGCGCCCGCCGCCGCTGCCCCTGCTGCGGCGCCGGCCGCGCCCGCGTCGAACACGAGCCTCAGCGCGCCTGCTGCGCCGGCGGCCAGCGACGTGTCGTTTGACGGCAGCGGCGTGGGCCGGCGCAAGAGCGTGCGCATGGCGCCCGACGTCAAGCTGCCGCCGGAGACGCCGCAGCCGCAGCCCGAGATGCACGAGTACCTGCCGCGCAGCCAGTCGGCCACGGCGCCGGCGCCGGCGCTCTCGAGCCGCATCGCGCCGCCGCCGCCGGCGCCGCCGCGCCTGCCGACCAAGGCGGCCGACTACGCGCCCGTCGACATCGGCCGCGAGCGCTCGACGTGGACGTCGCGCATCGGCACGGCGGCCGACGACTCGAGCGACGAGGAGGTCGACGACTACGCGAGCGCGCGGCGTGCCTTTGGCAGTGCCAGCCGGCACCTCGGCAAGGCGACGGGCGCCATCAAGGCCAAGGTGACGAAGAGCGACGACGCGCCGGCGGCGAGCCCGGCGAAGAAGAGCAAGAAGAAGAAGACGGGCGAGCAGGTGAACCACGGCTACAACGCGGCCGTGCCGCTGCCGGCGGGCATGCAGGTCGTCGGGCGCAGCCCGAGCACGAAGCGCAAGTGAGGCGCGCCCTCGCCGCCGTCGTCGTCGTCGATACCCTCTCCCGGCCTCCTAGCCTGCTCCGTCTCCTGCTGCTCCCGCCTCCCAAGTGCCGGCCCAGCGGGCCGTGCTGGACCCTACCCTTATTTGCCCTACTCCTCCACGCTCCTTTGTGCTCTCTCCTGCCTCTCTTGTAAACTGCGATGCGATGAATTGCATGCTATCGCTCGTCATCTGCTACCATGCGCACCCCAGGCGAGGCGCAGGACCGGCAGCCAGGAGGAGAGGCTGGCCGAGGAGCTCGGCTAGGCGCAGCGTGACGCAGCCGCGCGGCCGCGAGATTTTCCTCCCGCACGAGAGACGCGCGCGCCGCCCTCGACTTCTTCCTGCTGCCAGCTGAGGCCGCGTCGACGCTTCGGTCCCACCACCACCCACACCCAGCATGCCCGTCGCCACCACCTCGGCCGTGCCGCTGCCAGGCGCGTCGAGCGGCAAGCGCAAGCGCAGCGCCTCGCCGTCGGCCGTGCCGGGCGAGGCGCCCGAGGCGGCGGCGCAGACGGGCGCCGCGCTCGCCGCTGCGCTGCGCACCACGTCGCCCGACTCGCTGCGCCTCGCCCTCGCCGCCCTGCGCCGCAGCACGTCGATCGCCACGCACGAGGAGCTGCCGGCGCCGACGGACGCGCGCGTGCGCCTGGCGCAGGACTTCGTCGACGCCGGCGGCCTCGGCGGCGCGCTGGTACACGACGCCGGCTGGGGCGCCGTCGCCGGCAGCGCCGCCACGCCCGGCCTCTTCGACGCCTGGACGCTGGCCGAGCAGCAGGCGCTGCCGGCGCTGCTGCCGCTGCCGCTCTTTGTGCTGGCGCACCTGCTCGCACTGCTCTCGGCGCACCAGCCGACGCACGCGCTCGGCGACCGCGTCATTGAGCCGCTGCTGCCGCCCGCCGCCGGCGCCGGCGCCGGGGCGTCGCGCTTCTGGGCCCGCCTGCAGGCCTACCTCGGCAGCGCCGAGAGCAAGAAGGGCAAGGCGCCGCAGGGTACGGCGGGCAAGGACAGCGGCTCCGAGATGCTCACGCTCGCCACGGTGCGCCTGCTGCTCGAGATGAGCTCGTTTGCCGGCGGCAAGTACGCGCGGCGCATCTTCGAGGGCATCGGCTGGAGCATGAAGGTTCGTGTGCTTCGTGCGTTTGCTACTTGCACGAGCTGACCGTCCGGCCCAGACACTGCCGCGTCTGCTCAACATGCGCCGCCGTGCGCCGAGCGCCAAGGCCAAGGCTGCCGGCCGCCCGGCTGCTCCCGTGACGCTCTCGCGGCCCGACGTGCGCACGCTCTGGCTGCTCTTCCTGCTCTCCTTTCTGCATGGCTCCTCCTCGCTCAAGCAGTCGCTTCTCGGGCTCGGCCGCGACTTTCTGCCGGCCGCGATGAAGGGCCTCTCGCGCGATCCGCCGCAGATTGTGCTGCACGTGCTGCAGTCGCTGCATGAGGGCCTGCTCAGCGAGAATGCCCGCCTGCCGCGCGCCCGCGTCGTCGGCTTCTTCAACGAGTGGACGTGCAAGGAGATTGTGGCGCTGTACGAGCGCAGCACCGAGCGCGTAGGCATCGTCGGCAGCGCAGACGAGCCGCTCAGCGTCGCCGACGTGGCGCACCATTTCCTGCTCGCGCTCTGCTCGCATCGCGGCCGCGGCATCTGCTTTGCCGACCGCGGCTGGTACGGGCGCGCTGATGCGGTAGACGACGTCGAAGACGGCGAGGCAGCTGCCACAATCGGCGAGTCGCAGGCCGCACGCGGGCCGCGCATCCACAACAAGATCCTGCTCGGCATCCTGCGCTCGCTCACGCCCACGCGGTCGCTGGCGCAGGGCGAGTTGGCGCTGCAGATCCTTCACGCCTCGCCGGAGCTCGTCGGACCGTACCTCGATTCGTCGTCTGGCAGCATCTCTGCTTCGTCGCTCGAGCCTCGCGCCGCCTCGAGCGCCTGGCTATGCACGGCGGCGTTCCTTGGTCGGGCGCTTAGTCTGCCGCTGCCGGACTTTCGCCGTGCGGATGGTGACTCGACTGGCGCAACTGCCTGGCTGGCAGAGCCGCCGCCGCTCGACAGCGTCCTCTCTGCTCTGCTTCCGTGCCCACTCTCGCGCGGTCTTCTTCAGCGCGGCATCACCCACGCAGACCGCCTGACGCGACATGCCGCGCTCGCAGTGCTCTCTCGCGTCCTCGACCGGCTCTCGCGCTTCCGAGCGGTGTGCTTAACCGCTGCAGAGCAGATCGGCGAAGGCGCCGAGGCGCACGACCTGGACGACGACGCTTCTGCCGAGCCGAGCTTCGGCCTCGACGGACACGGCCACTGGACGCGCCGCTGGAAGGAGGTCGAGCGCGAGGCGCGGCGGCGCCTGCCGGATCTGAGCGCGCTCGTCGGCGGCCTGCAAGCACTAGACGGCCAGAACAAGGGAGAAGCACCAGAAGACGGCGGCGCAACCCAAGAGCAGTCCGGCGCGTCGCCGAGCGAGCTGCTTCTGACAGAGGCGCATCTCCGCGCCGTGTGGCTGTACCAGACCGTCCTGCCCGGGTCGTCCCTCGACGCCTCACGCCTGGACGTCGGCCGTCTGCTCGTCAACGACTTCATGGCGCCAGCGACGGACAGCGCGAGCAGCGTCGCTGACAAAGCGGCGGGCATGCGCAATCTGTGCCAGCTGCACGCACTGCGCATCGTGGCGCTCACGACTGGCACGAGCGGCGCGGGCGAGGGTGGCTTCGACCTCTTCGCGCGGGCGTCCTCGTCTGCCTCGTCGCGGTCGTACTTCTGTCTGCTGCTCACGGTCCGCCTCTCGACTGGCCTTGGCCTCGTGCGCGAGGCGTGCGACGACATCTTTGCCGCAGCGCTCGGCAAGAGCGCTCTCTTCGAACACGACCCGAATGAGTGGCAGGCGTGGCTGCGTGCTCTGCCACTCGAGGACGCCAGTCCAGCTGGCGAGTCTCTCAGCGAGGAGCAGGCTGCCGTGCTTGTCTTCCTCGACGAGTGCGTGCAGCGCTGTCTCAAGACGCACTACCGCTATCTGGAGGCTTCACGCCGTCTGCGAGCGGAGCATTCGCAGTCCTCAAGTAGTCTGACTGCACGGGACGCGGGCAGTGACGACACGGATCTGGCGGCCAGCCCGCTTCTAAGCACGATTGCAGAGCAGCTCAGCATCCGCCTGCGCAAGGGACTGCTCGATGCGCCATCCGCCTCTGCGTCCGCACGGGGTCACGCCGAGCGCACGGCCTTGCTGGCGTTTGTCAATCGCCTGATGCTTGGCCTCATCGGCGTCGGTCGGCCGGCCTCGCCTCTATTGGCGCTGGCTGCTGACCTCCGCGAAGCTGCAGCGGACGACGCGGCAGGCTGTCCGCCGGTCCTCTTCCTCGCTGATGTGACCGTCTCGCGTCTCGAGGCCATCGCAAGCGGACCGCGCGAGCATGGCTTGCGGCCGAGTACATTAGCAGGTGAGTCCGGTGCCATACATCTCGGGCGACGAGCTGGGAGGATTAGCAAACGCAGTGGCAATGTCTTAGGCCGTCCGGTCCATGACGATCACGCAAACAAAATGTCTTCAACCTAATGACCTTCTCGTCCGCCCTATCGCGCCCGCCGTTCGCCGTATCAGCACTGACACGCGTCCTCCCGCACAAAGACACAGACAGCTTTGCCAGCGCTGCGACCACCGCTGAGCTGCGCGCGCGGCTACGACAGGCCGAGCGGCCTCTGGCGTCGACGGCACATCGCGCTCTTCAAGCTTCCGTGCGGCATCTCCTTTCCAAGGGATGCACGGGCGCGCTGCAACTGATGCGCGAGCTCGACCCGCTACGCGAGCAAGGCGCTCTCGATGACGAGATCCGCCTGCATCTGCCATCGGAAGCGACTCTCTACGGTCTCGAGTCTGCTGTCCACGACGATTCGACGGACGCCAGCGAAGCACACATCTGTGCGGCAATCGCCGTGTCGCGCTTGCAGACGTGGCCCGCCGAGTGGGTGCTCGCGCAGCTGGCCGCCGCCCTGGGTCAAGCACCCTCTGCACGCCTCGTCCGAGAGGTCTTTGGCAGCCGCGCTCTGCTAGACCACCTGTCGACGGCACAAGCGGACTTCGTCGCGGCCTTGGCAGACCTCCTGTCACTGTCTGACGCGACGGACCCGGCGCAGCGCGGTCATGCGCTTCCTCTCGCCGAGCGCGCCCTCGATCTGCTCGCGGACAGTTCTGCATTCGAAGTCGTCCTTCCGGCGTTCCAAGCACTTGTGCCGCTGCTCCACGCCGACACGCGGCGCCGTGTCACCGCTGCAATGGTCGAGGTGTTGCGTCAGCGAGACGTGTCCACCAAGCCAGCAGTCGTGCAGGGCGTTGTGCGCAATCTGCTCGCGCTGCTCGAGAGCGACTCATCCTTGGCTCTTGCTCTCGATGGAGCCATCGAGGCGCTGCTTGGGCTCGTCGCGGCAGCGCCCATCGCGGCCGCAGACAATGCGCTGTCGCACATCTTTGCAGTGCTGTACCGCACGCTTGAATCTTCGACGGTGCCAGGTCTCGACGGCTCTCGGCGATCCACGAGGCAGTCGGAGCCCAGGACGACTGTCCAGCTTCCGGCGTTCGCCGTGCCCGTTCGCGCCATTCTCCAGCGCAGTGGACCGATCGTAGACGCCACTCTGGCTCTGTTGCTCTATCGATGCCCACCGGCCGTGGCGCAGCTGCTCGAAGAGCTGTCGAGAGAGGCCGACTCGGTGCCGGCGCTCGCAAACCTCGCGCGCGCGTTCCCCAGATCCGTTCTGGCCGCGCTCGACCTGTGCGAGCCTGGCACGGTGCCCGCACCGCTCGTCGAGACTGCGTTGGCAACGCTCGCAGCGCTTGCGTTCGACGCCGAATCTTCAATCGCGGTCCCGTCGTCCGCCTCGCTTGCGCTTCTCCGGCGGCAGCTTTCGCCGAACAACAGTGCGCTTGCGCTGTCGAAGGCCCTCTCTGCCGCGATGCCCGGCAAGGCTTCGCTCGCATTCCAGCCCGCCGTGTTCAAAATCGCTGTCAGCCTGATCGGCGACGAAGCAAGCGAGGTTCGTACTCTGACGCAGCAGCTCATCGACCAAGGCCTGCTGTGGCTGGTCCGTCGCTTTGCCGAAGATGCGGAGGACTCTGCTGCTCTCATCGACGCCGTCGGAAGCTTCTCGGAGCTCGTCATCAGCGCCGGGCAAATTGGTGTGCTCCCCAAGCCTCACCTTGCCGAGCCTGTCGTCGAGGCAGCGATCAAGAACCGATTGGCATGCGCGCCGCAGATGCAGCTCGTTGCGGCGCTGGCTCGCTTTACGCCGTTCAAGACCGCTGTGCGCTCGGCGCAGATCAGCTCGGTCCTGGCGCATCCGCTGTTCCGCACCACGACGCAGCCAGGCGAGGCGGAGTCCGACGCGCCGCGGGAGGCTGTCGTCAGCAAGCTCTACCACAGCATTGCGAGTGATGCGGCCGCGCTCAGCCGGCCTGCCACCATCGCTGCACTGCTGCGCATCTACGGCGCCACGCTGAGCACTGCCGACCGCCGCCTCCTCGAGGTTTTTGGCTGGTTCGAGAAGCAGGAGCGTGCGTCTCTGCTCTCGCTTGCCACGCAGTGGGTGCCGCCGGCGGTTGCGAGCGCGTCCGGTGCGGGCTCGCCGAGCAGCTCTGCCTTCGATGCCGTCTTGGCCCTCGAGCCTGCGCGCGCCTTTGCTACGTGCGCAGCGTATCCCCGCGCTCGTTGCGTACAGCACAAGTCGGCCGGCATGGCCAAGCAGTCCAGTACCGCCGCGAGCGCCGTCTACGATCCGATCTGGGTCATGGCACTCGTTGCCGCGATGCTGCTGCAGAAGCAGCCGCTCACGGGCCTACAGTGGCTGGCAGTGCTGCGAACGAACGCCCTGGGCGTCATCGTCTGCACACTGAGCTCGAGATCCCGCGACGTGCGCGCTGAGGCGCGAGCCATCCTGGCCCGCGCCCACGCGAGTGTCTCGCGCGCAAACTTCCAGGAGCGCGAGCATCTTGTGCTGGCGCTGGACGCCCTGCGCGACGCTATGCCCGTGCAGGACACCACGCCGCTGCCGCTCACGACGACACTATTCGTTGCGCATGTGCTGCGCTCGCTCTCGGCGCCCTCGTCGTTTACGTATCCGATCTTCAGCCGTTTCCTCCTGCAGCGCGCTGAGCTCGACCTCGGCGACGTGCCGCTGCTCTACAACATGCTGCTCTCCAGCTCGGACGAGGAGCACCGGCAAGAGCGCGTGTGGATGCTGCGCTTCCTGCGCGACTGCCTGCGCGCCGGCGGGCGGGCCGAGTGGCGCGTGTTCAAGCGCCGCCACGTCTGGGAGCTCCTGGCCAGCCTGTACACTGCGACGGCGCCTGGCACTGGTGCGCCGACTGACCGCGCCGTGCGCTCCGTCATCGAGGAGATCTTCCTCGCCGCCGCGAGCCTGCCGACCGTTGCGTTTGAGCTGCTTCAGAGGCGCGCGCTCATCTCGTGGGTCGCGCAGCAAGTCTCGATCGAGCGGGCCGCTTCGGGCGCACGGCGCTTCTGGGTCACGCTTCTCGACACTGCAACGTCTGCCGTCGATCTCGAGCGTCTCGACCGCGGCACGAGCGGAGCGTGGGCAAGCGCTCTGCTTGATGCTCTTGCCGGCTGCACGCGTCTGCCAGCGGGATCCGAGGCTGCAGCGTTGGACGACGCGCGCACGCTGCGCGCCACGGCCAATGCGCTACGCAACCTGCTCTGCCAGCAGCGCCGGAGCGCTCGCACTCTCGCCCAGGCCGGGCTGCGCCTGCCGCTCGTCGTCGAGCTGCTGAGCACGGTGCTGGCACGACTGTGTGCCGCTCCGCCGGCAGACTCGCTGCACACGCCCGCGGAGCAAGATGATAAGGACGCCGGAGTGCACGCCGCGTACGAAGCGGTGCTGGCACTCTACGAGCTTGCTCCAGTTCAGGCGCACCATGAGCGCTCACAGTTGCGCGCTCTCTTCAGCGCGGCTGCGCGCGCCGAGGTCGCTCACGGAGGCGAGGAGGCGCGACACCTTTGGCTGGAGGCGAGCCGCACTGCCCTCACTCCGAGCTTGTGAATGCATACTATCCGCATTGGTCATGGCTTTGCGCCCTTGTTGAGTGTCCTGTACGTGCTCCAGACGGCGTCGCCGTCGATGTAGCATCCTAAAGCGAGGTCAGTGCGACGCTCCTGCGTAAAGGCAGACGCGGCTCACCCTTCAGCCAGCGCTTCACATCGTCCCCGCTCTCTGCCTGCTCGTCCCACTCGAAGCCGCGCCGCGAGTGCAGCACGCGCCGGTTGTCGAAGATGACGCACTCGCCCTCGCTGAGCGTGCGCTCGTAGCGGAACTGCTCCTCGAGCGTCAGATCGGCGAAGATGCGCAGCGCGTCGTAGAAAGCGAGGCGCTCGGCCGTGCTGGGCTGGCCAGAGGCGGGGTGCAGCGGCATGGGCGACTGGAAGGGCGGCGAGTAGTTGACGGCTGTCAGGCGCGGCATGCCGGAAGCGAACGGCCGGCCGCCGTGGCCCTCGTTTTCAGCCGCCACCTCGAACGTCGGGTGCGTGTAGCGGTAGTGGAAGCCGTCGTTTTGGTAGTGGAAGCCGACCGGAACCTGGTACGCGTGTCGGCGCGGAGTGTCGCGCGCGGAGGAGCCGACTCACCTTGGCCAGCAGATTCCACGCCTCGCGATGGTGCTCCCACATGTGCTCGGCGACCTTGAAGCTGTCGACGAAGATGCTGCTGCCGCCGCGCACGCGGTTGCGCAGCGAGTGCAGGAACTGGAAGCGCGGCGGGTTCTGGAAGTAGCACAGGTCCATGTGCAGGCCGAGGTCGACGTTGGTGTAGGCGATGTTGCGCGAGGCAGAGCCGAGCGAGCGCACGTTCCACAGCGGCCCGTAGAAGGTGTTGCGGATCTCGCCGAGCTGGTGGGGTGTCAGGGGTGATCACAGGCAGAGACGCTTGCTACGTACCTTTGCAGCCAGGTCCGCAAGACGTGCCCTCTTTGGCCCTTCGTTGTCTGTCACGTCTGTTGGCAGCCCTGCAACAAAGACGAGCCCGTCGCGCACGAGAGCCCGTGACAGCGCTGCGGACGCCGCTCGCTCGTCGCCCTCGCCCAGCAGCGCACCCCACGCAACGCGCGCCGGCCGCGCGTGTGCGGCGTCGACGTCGAGCGACTCGGGCTGCTCGTCTGCCGAGGATGGCGGCGGACGCGGCGCGGGAAATGCTGCCACATCGGATGCTCCCCACGGCGTCGGCACGCCGCCGATGTCGTGGTGCAGCGCCTCGTAGCGCTCCGGCAGCGCGTGCGAGAGCAGCAGCGAGAGCGGCAGGCGCGAGCGGTGCGGCGTCGACGGCGGCTCGGCAACGGTGCCAAACGCCGCCGAGAAGGCGTTGGTGACGTGCGCCTTGGGCGCAAAGTGCAGCGTCAGGACCCAGTCCTCGGGCGCGCAGCCGTCGCTGCTCGGCTCGAGGGTGGGCGGGTGGTCGCTGAACGAGGGTGAGGGGTGTGCCTGTGCGCCGACGACCGTCCGCACTCACGGGTCCAGCAGGCTCTCGCCGTCATGCGGCACGCGGATGTCGCTCGTGTGGAACATCTTCTGCTGCGTGCTCTCCTGCACGCTCTCGCGCTCGCGGCAGGCATCGCGCAGCCAGACGTGGTCGAAGGGAAAGGCGCGCTCGAGGCCGAGCGCCGGCGCGACGAGGCCGATGGCCGACGGCAGTGCGACGATGCGCACGTCCTGCGGGCCCTCGAGCTGCGAGAAGCAGCGCACGGCGGTGTGTGCGCGCGGCAGGCCCCGTGCCAGCGGCCGCAGGTGGCGGTACACGGCGCGCATTGTAGAGCCAGGATGGTGGTAGGAAGCGTGGGCGGCGCGACGCGCACTCGGCAACAAGGTTGCCGGCGGCATGGCCCGAGCGGCGAGGCTCGGGAGTCGGACCAAGCAGGTTGAAAGTTGCCTGTACCAGGGCAAAGACAAATGACCTGTCACAAGACTTGTGTGACCCAACAATGCAGCACTGCCATTGGAGAGAGCTATGTCCAGAAAGCAGCCTCCTGCACAGCAGACAGGCAAACTGGCAGCAAGCAGACCAACACATGTAGTAGGAAGCAGTGCAGAAGGCAGCAGCGCAGCCGGCTGCCATGCCAGGCACCAGGGATGAGTTTGGCAGCACCTGCTAGTAAAGCAGATCTAACCTGTAACAGGGAACAAGATGAGGAGACCACATTCAAGCACAGTCTTGCATTCTAAGGGATGTGTGCGCCACTTCTTGAAGTCTTGCTGCAAGCCCAGAAGAAGAAGGGGCCACTTGGAGACAGTGCAACAGCAATGTAGCAAGGTGCTTCTGCAGCTTGGTGTTGCCAATGAGCACAATCACTTGCTGGCGCTTGACCTGACCAGCAAGTCAAAGCAGACAGACGCGCAAGCCATGACAGAAAAAGCAATGGACCTGCAGCAGATCTCTTCCAGGCCAAGTCAGCGCCACAACAAGGACAATATCAATGACAAGCCTTTGAAGCCTTCAAACACTTTCTCTCCTGCAGAGATAATGAGCTTGAAACTGCTGCTGCTGCAGGTGGGAAATGCAAGGTCAGGATGGACAATGTAGAACTTGTTTGCAGTGCTTGCGCCAAACAAGCTGCCCTTTGTGGCATTGATGCAGCAGGGCAGCGTCATCAAGTCTGCAGCAAGTTGCTCCAAGATGTTGACTACCACATGGAGTCAAATGCAATGGCCAAGGGGATAAGCTGAGGGTCTCCTTGGCATTGCTGGAGGGCAGAATGCCTGGGCATTGCTAGATGTGTAGAATGCCTTAATGGTGCATGTGCATGCAGTCTTAGCTGTTGCAAGCAACAAAGTTGAGCACAGTGTTTGCAGAGCTGCTAGAGAGGGGGACAGAAACAATGACGCACCAGCAAGCACTGCGCTGCGCTGTGCCTTGAGCATCTTGACATGCTCAACAGCAAAGCTCTTGCTGGCTGCCTGCACGCTGTGGCCCTTCTTGCGCCAGGTGTTGAGCAGCTCACATGTAGTAGCTCTGATATGTTGGGTCAGGTAAGACATGGCGCCTCTACATATGGAAAGGTCCAGGCCCTTAAGCACTTCTCATCTCACAAACAAAGAACTTACAATGGTGTTCACATGCGTCATCATGGCACAGAAGATGCCGTGACACCCATCAGTGGCAGCAGCTTCTCTACAGCTGCAGCTGCTGCTGGCAGGCGCAGCTCTAGTCCTGCCAATGGCGCCAAGAACCACAAGGGCTGGCATGATGGGGCTGGGCGGGCCAGCACCATTGCACAGGGCCTGAAGAGTGCCTGCTTCACTGCAAGCAACCTGGAGCAGGAGGGGCGCACATTACTGTCCAATGACTGGGCTTGCAAGCCGTGTGCAAATCCAGGTGCAACAAAGAAGAACAATTTGGTCATCCCATCTAACCAGTCTGACAATAGCAAATTTGCCTGCTTTGACAAGGCGCTGCGCTCTTCTTTGTCTGGCCTCACACTTGCCCAAGTGAATGCCTTTTTCCCCTTCCTCCCTGTGCTTATCTTCTTGGCAGCCAAGGTTGCCTGCTTTGACAGTGCCCTGCCCCCTTGTGCAGGTCACAACAAGGCACATTTGCTGTCCATCTTTGACGCTCAGTGCGCAAAGTCTGCTGGGCAAGGGCATCAATGGTGTTGAAGAGGAGGACAATGAAGTGTCTTCAATGCCTTCCACATCTGCCTTGGTGACAACAACAACAATGAGTGCCTGACACCATGCTACATTGCAAACTCCTCCTTGAATGCCTCACACACCACAGCATTGGCACAGCAGATCAGCAGGCGCCTTGCTGCCTATCTGCATCTGCTGCATCCAGAGCTGATGGAAGCGCAGCACCTGGCCTTGCTTACCCATTGCAGCAGCAATGGCTAGTGGTGCACATTTGGGCTGGCTCTGAAGCTGCACCTGTACAACTCCCTCAAAAGCATTGCCAGTGACAAGCATGAGGACAACAAGACAATGCTGATATACAGGACAATGTCTGTGCACCTGGGCAGCCTTGCAACTGCCCACAAGCACCATGTGCAGCAGCCTTTCATGCTGCGCAAGGAACTTGGTTTGTGCCTGCACCAAGAAACATGCAGTCTGGGCAAGAAGCCTATGGGCTGCAAAAAACTAAATGCCTTCCTTCCTGTGCAAGGCTAACCTCTCTCATGTGCTCTCTGCAGTTGCCAAGAAGAGCAACAAGGAAGCTACCTTCTAAGCAATGCTGTGAGGTCTCCCTTCCATAGGTGCCACATGGCAATGGCAGCCAATGGGCATGCGCAGCGCGCCAAGGACAAGCTTGACTCTGCTTGATGTGTCCAGCAGAGCTGTAAAGTTACACTATCCCCTCAAAGGGCCCTGCACGGCATGACAACCGTGCATCCTGGCTTCCTCTTCTGTAGCGCCCAAAGATATGTGCAACGCTCCAGTGCGCAACTGCGTCCAAAGCCAGCCTTGGCGCCGCTGTGCTTGAGGTAGTCCTCCGTTGTGGCAATGGCACCATTGTCTCCTGTATTGCCTGGCGCCATCTGCAGCAATGGATGCATTGGGAAAGAAGTCTCCTTGGTCTTCTGCTGCCGCACTTAGGGTTAGGGTTAGGGTTAGGGTTAGGGTTAGGGTTAGGGTTAGGGTTAGGGTTAGGGTTAGGGTTAGGGTTAGGGTTAGGGTTAGGGTTAGG